GCGGTAATTGACTGCCTCTGGCCATTATTCGTAATTCTTTTTCAACGACGTCGGACAGTTTCCACTAGAGTGGGCATTCGAGAAGGACGAGAAGGATTTGGCGTGCCTGGGAAGCGCGGTCTACGCCTTCCCTTCCCGGGCGGCGACCAAAAAAAAAGAAAAAGGCTGCCAGCTTTTTGACGGTACCGGAGCACGTCTTCGCCAACATCCCTGATTGGGGCCTGCAGCGTGCATGTTGCTGACAATGTTGGCTGCTAGGGGACCAGGAGACGTTAGCTCGGGGTCGCTTAGCCTGGTTTGGGACTGTCGGACCAGTTACAGACCCTGGAATTTTGAAAATCCGGCCATGATTGCTGACGAAAGCAAGGATTGCAGCGCTGGGACAGGGGGTGATGAAGCAAAAAATAGAAAGAGAGTTGGGTGAGAAAAGTAGGTATCCGTTAGGTATGTACGTGCGGATACAAAGGAAAGAAGAAAAGAAAAAAGATAGGGCCGGCAGAAAACGGCCAATTGTCCAATGAGACGTCGCCTCCCGCGCGGTCTCGCGGTCCTACGTCCTGATCTGTGATGCCGCACCCACGGTGACCCGCCTGCCAATTGGTGAAGACAGCGCGGAGGCACGGGCAGGTGGCAGGCAGCTAGGTACAAGCGTGATCAGAGACTTGTACAGCGACCCGGCGAGTCAGTCTCAGACTCTCAATGCCCTCGATACCCGCTTTCTTTCAAGGGCCCCACCACCCACTTTCGCGGGGTCCGTCTCCACTGGCCTGCCCTGCGCCTTGTCCGCCTGCCGTCGTCGTTGCTGGCGCCGGCGCTGGCGCTGGTCCTGGTGCGATTGAGGTCGGTCGGTCGGTACCTACCTTCCACGCGTGAATAATTTTTCTCAAGCGGCGGCCGAGAGGAGGGAAACGAGGCAAGCTCTTTCTGGTCTGCTTCTGTGTCTCCGAGGAAGGGCCAACCAAGGATGCGGATGGGGCCTGCCTCGTCGTGTCTCCACGGTATCCTGCTCCGACATGCCGACTTGCCATTGAACATTGATCATTGATAATGCGGCCGAATTTCCACTTATATCGGTAGCTAGAGAACCTCCTTGATTACTACTTCTTTCTTTCCATCTCCATTCCCCTTGGTGTGACATTTCTCTCTTTCTCTCATCCCAACATCTACTCCAATCTCACCCCAAGATCGCCCGCGCGTTCCTTGGCTGTTTTACCCCTCTGTACATACATTCCCCGTGTGTGCAAGTAGAGAACGAGCTACCCCTCATCGTGCTTATTGGCCGGGCGCCCCGACATCTCACTGTTTGAATACACTCATCCTCCTTATCCGCAAAAATGTCCACCACGCAGCTCCCCGTCTCCGACGTCGACCGCTACGACTATGTCATTGTCGGCGGTGGTACCGCCGGCTGCGTTATCGCCTCTCGCCTGGCCGAGTCCCTCCCCCAGAAGCGCATCCTCTTGATTGAGGCTGGCCCCAGCGACTTCATGGACGACCGCGTGCTCGACCTGCGCAAGTGGCTGAACCTCCTCGGCGGTGAGCTCGACTACGACTACGGCACCACTGAACAGCCCATGGGTAAGCTTCTTCCGCTTCCGCCACCTCTTCCCTCTCGAGACAGCTCACTGACGCGACTCCCTTCTTACAGGCAACTCTCACATCCGCCACTCTCGCGCCAAGGTGCTCGGTGGTTGCTCATCACACAACACCCTCATCTCCTTCAGACCCTTTGAATACGACCTGAAGATCTGGCAGTCTTTGGGTGCCAAGGGATGGACCTTCCACGACTTCATGCGCCTCATGGACAAGCTTCGCAACACCGTCCAGCCCGTCCACGCCCGCCACCAGAACGAGCTCTGCCTCGACTGGGTCAACTCCTGCTCCTCCGCCCTCAACATCCCCGTCCTCCACAACTTCAACAAGCATATTGCCCAGGACGGCGCCCTGAAGCAGGGTGTCGGTTTCTTCTCCATCTCCTACAACCCCGATGATGGCCGCCGGTCTAGCGCCTCGGTCGCCTACATCCACCCCTTCCTCCGCGGCGACGAAAAGCGCCCCAACCTTACCGTTCTCACCAACGCTTGGGTCTACAAGCTCAACATCAAGGGTGACACCGTCACCGGCGTCAACCTGACCCTCCAGGACGGTTCCAAGCGCACCATCACCTCCAAGAAGGAGACCATCCTCGCCGCTGGCGCCGTCGACACCCCTCGGCTGATGATGCTGTCCGGTGTCGGTCCCAAGCAGCAGCTCAGCGACCTCGGCATCCCGGTCATCCACGACCTGCCCGGTGTCGGTGAGAACCTCCAGGACCACCCCGAGTCCATCATCATGTGGGAGCTCAAGAAGCCGGTCCCTCCCAACAAGACCACCATGGACTCCGACGCTGGTATCTTCCTCCGCCGCGAGGCCCCCAACGCCGGTTCCAAGAAGACCTTCTTCAACCCCGACGGCATCCCCGACGGCGACATTGCCGACGTCATGATGCACTGCTACCAGATCCCCTTCACCCTCAACACAGGCCGCCTGGGCTACGACGAGCCCAAAGATGGCTACGCCTTCTGCATGACCCCCAACATCCCCCGCCCCCGCTCCCGTGGCCGCCTCTACCTGACCTCGGCCGACCCCAACGTCAAGCCCGCCCTTGACTTCCGCTACTTCACCGACGAGGAGGGCTACGACGCCGCGACCCTCGTCTACGGCATGCGCGCCGCCCGCAAGGTCGCCGAGCAGGCTCCCTTCAAGGACTGGATCGCCCGTGAGGTCGCCCCCGGCCCCAAGCTCCAGACCGACGAGGAGCTCAGCCTGTACGCCCGCCGCGCCGCCCATACCGTCTACCATCCTGTCGGAACGACAAAGATGGGTGACGTTCGCAAGGACCCGCTCGCCGTTGTCGACGAGCGCCTCAACATCAAGGGCCTCAAGCGGGTCCGTATCTGTGACGCTGGCATCTTCCCCACTATCCCCACCATCAACCCCATGTTGACCGTCTTGGGTTGCGCCGAGAAGTGTGCCGAGATGATCATCGAGGAGGCCCAGGAGACTGCCCGTCTGTAAAAAAAAACCCCAAAACTTTTGTCAGAACTACCAAAGAAAGCGTTACCATGTGAAGGAGATGATTTGAAAAGCATTTCTTTGTTTATTTTTGAGAGTTAGCTATCAGGCATTATACCAAATGATATTATGACTATGAACATTCTTTTCTCACTCCATGTTCCTCGTGTCTTACTTGAAGTGTGATCGTTTTCTGCGAGACGGAAGACATCGCGTGTTGCCTTCGGTTGGTGGCACCGAGAAACTCCGACAGGACACCCACATATCCACCATTGTGCATGAAAAGTTTTTTTTGTTGAACTTGCAGGAAGGCAATGAAGGCCAGGCAACTGAGCGATCCTTTAATCCAATTATAAGATTCCGATGCTGATTGTATGATCGGACTTTCCATGCATCGGGGCTGTCCACGACGTAGTTGTCCTCGGGCATTATCCGGCAATTGGGTCGTCGGACTGAATTGGATTGATGTTCCCCCACATGGAATTTCCATTGGCGGCCTCGAAAATAATGTCATTCAACCGCAGATGCCGCACCGCAGATGGGGTTTCCAGTTTCCACGACCATGATACATCACTAAACCCAAATGAACAGTCCGAATGTCTGAATGCCCAAGCAAAGTTTTCCAATCGAGGTGTGGCCAAACGTACCTCTCGTTGGGGGGTCATCCAGTACTACTCTGTATCTAATCAAAAAATCCCGGTGGTATGGTGTAGTGCTCCATCCGAATCTGCAAGGGTTGCGACGATCAGCATAAACAAGGCCGTGGATTGCTTGCCACCTTTTCCGCGGCAGCTACCGCCTACTTACAACGGACATGTCGACCTCGATGATTGGTTCCAGGCAAAAGTACTCCGGACCTCTTTGGCATGACTTACTGACTTGAACCCCTTTCTAGACCAGAATGGAGCGAGAGCTTGTTTTGCGGTGGCGAAATTTGGATAGAGGATCTTGGCGGGGACTGGACATACGCTTGATTAGTAATTTGTAACGTTGTGTATAGCAATAAGTTGTCCCTCTTTTGTCTACTTCATTGCGTCCTCGGGATGGGTACTCACGGGCGTCTTAGTTTGTGTTGCGAGCCATTGAGCTAGAATATTGAATGCAATATTAACATAAACCCAATTTTTAATGTGTCTACAAATCCAACTGTTTCGTCTGTGTGAAGTGTTTTTAGCATTTTACTATAAACTGCAAAACTTTTTGCGTAAGACTGAGGCAGAAAATGGGGAAGAAAGAAGTGACCTTGATAGTCAACATCTTTGAATGCTGTCTATCCGTCGTTTACACGCCTAGGAGCTGGGTTTTCTTCAATAGCATCTGTCTCATTCAATATAGAAGGAACGAGTGCCAATATTCCTCTCGGGACCGTTAGACCAATTAGGCACGGTTTTGGGGGAGTGGTTTGCTTTTTGAGGGTTAGCATCGACTAGCACTGTGTAAAGAAGACCTTTTTCTTCAGTATCAAGAGCTATGCTCCTTTGGAAGTTTGCATGTGTAAAAGACAAACTCTCGATCCTGTTCTAACTATGCAAGAACGGTCTGCTCTTTCTAGTTGACTGGCTGAGGCAAACAACATGGTAGTTCCGTTTCAGGATGATGTCGGACTGTTCAGGTCCCGGGTATGTCCAGCTGCAAACTTTTGATGTCAGCAATATTACTGTAAACAATTTAATCGCGACTTTGGCCGCTGGGAATCCCATTTTGTATGCTCGCGGTCAATAAAAACAAATCTAGAGAGTATGTAGTCTAGGGAGTATATATATGCTTCATGAATGGCAGCATGTCATCATAATAAATACAAGGAATTTTCAACCCCCATTTCTCTTCTTTCTATTCTTTTTTGATTTCTGATTTACCCATTCGGGACTCCGATCATCAGGGTGGTAAGGCATCACCTTCAATCTACCCCTCCTTCAGACAATCGCCATCCACACACAAACGCTCGCTCATGCTGCGCAAATGCTAGCCTGGCGACCAGCTCCCTTGGCAACGACACTCGGCACATCAGCGGCGGCGTCGAGGGTGTACTCGTAAAACGTCCGGGGGTCAAAGACGGGACCGGCGTTTCTGGCCGTGCTGCCCGTGGTGCTCTCGAAGACGTTTCCCGTGGCGCTGAGCTTGGCGGTGGCGTCGAGCTGGATGGGGTTCTGGACCTGGTCAAAGTAGCAGTTCTCCATGCGCATCTCCGTCTTGCCGCGGGCGTAGTGGCCGTACGAGGTCTGGCCGACGAGGTAGTTGTTGTAGAGGTGGGCGTGCTTCACGTTGTCGACTGAGGGGTTGCGCTGGGTGGTTTGGTCAAAGTAGTTGTGGTGGATTGTGATTTCCGCGTCGACGTTGTCGGTCCAGCCTGGGAGATGTTTGTCATGAGTTTTTGGACGGAGGGTGACCGTAGGATATGGGGAAAACTTACCAATGCCAAAGGCCTTGTTGTGGTTGCGCAGGATGGTCCAGGACACGGTCAGGAAGGTGGTGTCCTTGCGGCTGTCGATGAGACCGTCGCCGCCCCTCTCGAGGTGGACGTGGTCGATCCAAATGTTGGTGCTGTTGTCCATCTGGATGCCGTCAAAGTCTTGGGTCTTGCCTTGCTTGTCACCCTCGACGTAGGTGTTGCCTAGTTTATCCATATGAGTATTTTTTCTTTCTTTTTTTGTCCCCATACGAGACATCAGACCCTCGATATATACTCACCAATCTTGATGTTGCGGAAGATGATATTCTTCTGGTTCTGAACGTTGAAACCACCTTGGTCAATCTCGGCAGTGTCACCGAGGCCGACAATAGTCTTGTCGGACGACACCTTGATCTCCTTGCCCTTGGGAGTGATGGTGATTTTGCCCGAGACCTTGATGACGTACTTGCCAGAGGCACTGGCGTACTTTTCGAGATCGGCCTGGGTCTTGACGGTGACGACCTCGCCGCCCTTGCCACCGGTGGTGCCGCCGTTCAGGGAAGCAAAACCGTCGGGGGTACCGCTGCAGTCATCATCCGCAGCCGCAGCCTGGGGAGCCGGTGTGGGGGAGGCCTTGACGACGGTCTGGAGAGTGGTGGGCGTGGCCTTGGAGTCGGCGACGGCAGGCTCGGCGACGGCAGCCGACTCGGAGGTGGATCTGGCGGTGCTTCCGCTGGTGTACTTGGAGTCGATCCAGGAGGTGGAGCCGAGAATGTCACCGAGCTTGACGGCGGCACTGATCTTCTTGGAGAAGCTGGCGCGGGTGCCGCTGGCGCCCTTGCCGGTGTTGGCGTACTCTTGGTAGACGACGTTGTCGGTCGGGTTGGACCCCCACTTGGACCAGCCTGCCGCGTTGACGACGGAGCCGAGGTTGGAGTTCTGGACGACGACGCGGGCAAAGGTGCGCCAGGGGCGACCGAGGAAGGTGTTTCCGTCGCCGACGCCCGAGAGGGCCTTTACGGTGGACTTGTTGATGACGTACCAGGACGGGTTGCTCTCGGCGTCGCGGCCGCTGGCGGTGATGTAGCCCTTGCCGCTGATGGCGATGGTGCAGGCCTCGAACCAGGCAATGGCTCTTTGGCCAAAGATGAAGTCGGTGGCGCCCTCGATGTACGAGTTGTGGAAGTAGTGCTTGCCCTGGTTGGAGAGGACGGTGTCCTGGTACCCCTTGGCTTGGATGCCGTAGTACCCCTGCTGGTTCCCGTAGGCGCTCAGGGCGATGGCCTGGACGCCTTTACCGCGCGAGTTGACAATGTTGATGTTGTAGACTTTCAGGTTGTCGTTCTTGGCCCGGAATGTGCCGGATGCGTCATTGTTGCCGGCCTCGTCGGCGCCAAGGCTGTTGGTGATGGTGACCTGGTTCTTGGAGTAGTCCTGGTCATTGGCGGTGTAGCCGTAGATAGTGAGGGCGCCCTTCTTGGCCGGGATCAGAACCTGCTCGTTGTAGGTGCCCGGCTGGATAAAGATGACGGCGCCGCTACTGGCGGCGTCGACAGCCTTTTGGATGGAGGTATACTTGCCCCCGGACTTTGCAACGACAAGAGCGCCGGAGGGGGGCGACGTCCGGGCCGCGCCGAATGCGCCGGCCACCAGGGACGACAGCAAAACAAGGGAAGAGGCAAGCATTGTTCCTCAAGGGGGGAAGAAATCGATATGGGAGAAGACAATGAATAGATTCCAAAGGACAAATGAGTGGAAATGGGAAGAACGAACGGCTTCGAAACGAAGTTTGAGAAGTGCAACAACAATCAAGAAGCAACAAAGACTATACACATTCAACTGGGAACACCTCGCCATTTTCTACTCGACACTCTACGGAGCAACCTGAATGGATCGTCGACTCTTTGGTAAGGCCTCCTCCTGAAGGAAGCGATCCTTGGCAAAAGTCTATCTGTCCCTCAATTCGTTCATTGCGCCAACTCGTTTCTGCCCATGCATGTATCTTGGCAATCCGCGCCCACGATGATCCAATAAGATCAATCCAGCTCTAGCGAAGCCCGCCCGCGCGACTGTCGGGGTGTCTAGGTTTTTTTTTTAACGAGATGGCGCCAAGAGACTCAGGAATCGACCAGTATGTATATTTGCAGCAGAGCGACCGTTGACCTGCATGCTGCGGGATGTAAGCGTCCTTGGGATCCGCCGCACGGAAATTGCACTTCTGTTTCTGGGCGCGTCAACGGCGAGTTTCAGGGGGGCGGGAGCTCAGAGCTGCGCCGTGTTTGCGCATGTTTCCGAGACTGCGAGCCCGTAGCCGCCGGTCCGCCGTGGTCCAAAATCAGTCGTTCGGGCGGTTGACCTGACTCCGAGTGGGCAGAAGATCGTCTGACGGGTGCCCCCCCCCCCTTTTGGAGCTCAAGCAGGGGTTTTTGGAATCCAAGCTTATGCTTAGTACAGAGGCACGTTAGTGGGCCTGTTACCCGTTTAGAGGCGACTCCAAGGTCTTGGTACTGCGATGTAGCGGAGAGTGTTTCCAACTAGGAGAGCAGATCGTGGGCAAACATATCGGTTCCTGCATTTGGCAAGCTAAAGTTGGAAGAATACGAATATGGCGCACGCAGTTGGTTGAGAGTGGTTGACCTGAGAAGCCATGTGGGAAAGGGCACTTCCCTCGTATTGAAAGCGAATGCTACGTCAACGGCCAGCCTCAGCGGCGAACGGGGTACTTGTGACGCCCGATTCGAATGTGATTAGTTGTGCAGAATTCGGTTGACAAATATGCGGCCGATAGACTCTTTACAGCTCCTACAAACTTGAGTTTCATTCTCCAACCAACTACTTAAAGATGGCCATGAGAGTGTATTTTGCCGCTCAGCTTTTGCGCACCATAATGAACAAAACAAAAATCGTCTTTTTTTTCGCCCCTACTGTATTTTTCTGTTGTCTCTCCTCTGAATTTGACCAAAACCTCGGAAGATGCGGCGGCCAGATTCAAATCCGAGTACATTATCTACGTGAAACGAGGTTGCTTGGCGCTCATATATAGTCCCGTTTCCTCTTTATTGAACTTTCAAGTCAAAGAAACCGAGGATATGACTAATGCTACATGTCGAGGGATAAGAGCTGGCTAAATGTTGCACCAATGAGTTGTGTGACTGGAATCGCCCCAGTGGAATATAAGAGCGACAAGTACTCTATAGATCTATAAGTTTGGCATAAGCCTTGAAGAAGACGCATAAACTTGAACAATTCTCGAGACGAAGAGAGGCAGCCTCTTGTCCACGATCAGGAGATCCGAGAGAAGAACATCTCTCACTCGTTTTGCAAACTGACAAGTGACGTATGCTCATTTCTTCCTAAGCATACAATGGTGGCTACTAACCGTGACTCCCGATGTTGCATACATGTACTCGGCAGAAACACGATGCCTCGGTCGCTCAAATCATCTCAAATCAAATATCTCACAAACACGGCCCAAGCACTAGCAATGATGGCAATCAGTAGGCCAAACGTCAAAGTAGTGAACCACTTCTTCGACGTCCGTCTCGTCAACGGGTCCGCCTGTCTGTCCACAATCACAGCCTCCCTCGCCTGTCTCTGTTTCCTGGTCAAGGTCATGCCCTTGCCCAAGAACCGATAATCGACAAAGATGTACGACAGCCCCAAAACAAAAGCCCAAGCCTTGATGGCAATCGCGACGGTCAGGACCTGGGAGTACCCGTTCCCCTCCGTACCGTCTTGGAGCGCGCCAAAGACGACATCCATCTAGAAACTTGTCGTTAGTACGTCTTCCACCTTGCTGCCCAAGTCCAAGGGCCACGCAAGATCTCGGGAGGAGGGTTTTCCAACTCACAATAGTCGACCCCGAGTTGTTAAAAGCCCGCCACACCCCAAACGCCGTTCCAATCTTTGCTTGGTCGGCCACCAGGAGCGGGATGCAGATCTGCAAGGGCATCGAGTTGATCACGCCCGCCAAGCTGGAAAACACGAGCGCCGCGAGCGGGTGGACGTCTGTGAAACCCAACATGGAGCAAGCGATAATCCACAGCACAGGCGCCGCCGCCACGTAGTGGAACCGGTGTCCGTACTTGTCGATGGCGAGGCCGACAAAGGGGCTCAGCACGATGGGCAAGATCTTTTGCGCCGTGGAAAGATAGCCCGCCACCGCCTCCGTGTACCCCTTCATGAAGATGATGTCGGCCGAGCTGGTGCTGAACCCGCCCGCGGCACCGCTCTGGAGCAGCTGCGTCGCGGGGAGCATGAGGTAGGCCCAGGGCAGGGCGAAGAGCGCGTCCCAGGAGAAACGGCGCCGGTCCGACAGGTTCTGCTGCTCAGCGATGGCTTGGGCCCGACCTGATGTCAGTCGGAAGCGTGGCGGGACGGCGAGGCGCTCAAAGGTCACGTAGGCCACGTTCACCGCCAGGGAGAAGCCACAGAAGAAGACGGGGATCCAAAAGGTCCAGCCGTACCAGCCCGTTCCGTCACGGATGGGGATGGCTACCATGCCCGAGACGAGACTTATGGTATTGGCAATGGCACTTTCGAGACCAAAGGCGAAGGCGAGGCCTGATGCGCCGAACCAGTGGTAGAAGAACTTTGAAACCCCCCCGTCAGTCAAACATACCCCGATATGACTGTATCATGACTATTTTTCCTTTCTCCGGATACACAGCTCGCAACTCACCTTTTGCGTAGCCGAATCAAGCACCGCGATACCGAACCCCATGAGCACATGCCCGCTCACGAGAACTCTCCACAGCCCAACCTGCACGCCCGCCGCAGCAACCACGGACCCGACAAGGATCACGGCGGTGCAGCATAGCGTGACGAGGTTGGGCCCCCACCAGTCGAGCACCAGCCCGCCCGCGATGGGGAACACGGTGTTGACAAAGGCGTCGGCGCTGCTGATGACGCCAAACTGCGCGTTGTTGACGCCGAGCTCGTTGCGCAGCGTGTTCTTGAGCGGGCCCAGGGCCGAGCCGGTCCAGGTGTGTCCGATGGGCAGAGAGACGACGCAGAGGAGGGCGATCCATTTGTAGGACCAGGGGATCCTCTGCAGGGTCTCGTCGTCGTTGTCGATGGGGAGGTCGGCCGGCGAAATGCCGAGGGTTTGGATGTTGATGTCGGGCGTCTTTTCTGCGTCTGAGACGAGGGCTGGCGCCCTTGGAGTGTCTTGCATATTGATGAGGGGTGCAGTCTAGTCAACTAGTCAAGTCTCCTAATCTTCAGAGGAATCAAAGATACGGAATCATCTGCATTTAAAGATCCAGCAACAGACTTTTGTATCGATTGAGCTTCCCTTATGCCTCACAAAAGCGTCGGGGAGAAAGCCGAGCGTCTTGCAAACATCGCCACTATTTCCTGCTATCTTTGCATCTTATCTGATCCATCTGACAGGCGTCGTGATCTGATAAAAATGTCGCAAACTCCATCTTGGCGCTCAACGTGCCTATCACGTCCCTCGGCGTCTTGGTATTCTGGCCTTGGCGCTCACTGTCGTACCCATATCAACACTTGGCATCGGTCCTTTACAGCGTCGCGAGTCTTGGCAACAAGTGCCAATGACGCCCAAAAAAACACCGATTTGGCGGCTCTGAACCCTCCAAGCTCTTTTGCTAGGTAGGGTGTTCTTTTCAATAGTCTATTCTCGGTCTCTTGGGTCTCCATTGAAAGTTTCTGCCTCATGACTCGGAACAACATTTGTGAAAACTCAATCCTTCGTGCGTACTATAATGTCTCATCAAGATAGTGTCTGAAGTTGACTGGAATACGGCTTTAGTTAAAGCCCATACACCACCACTGTACCCTTGGGACAGGGTTTTCGCCACGGCTTGATCAGGCATCTGCCGCAAAGCAGAAGAGATGCATCTAGGGAAGGGCCTAGGGGGTCATGTATGGACATCAAATGGCTGGTTAAATGCCATGTCCTCTGCTCAAGCAGTTTGAAGGCTTGATGCCATCTCCCATTGGGTCAATATGAGTTTCCCGACGTTGAGTTTCTCCTAGTAAATGCAATAGCAAGCCACCTTATTAGGCAGTAGTAGCTTTGCGATCCTCAAATCTATTTAACAAGCCAATCGTCCAATCGCACCACGTGTCTCGACTCTTCATCAAAACTAGCGTCTCGTTACAGAGGATTCTTTTCTAACCATTGGATAATTCATCGGACACTCTTCATAGGCCAAGGCAAGGATATCTGAATTGGTGAAGGGCGGCTATCTCAAAGACGTGATGGACCGTAATCAACGAAACGAAGTATCAAAGTGTCTCAATCGTCCGTAAAGAGACGCCCAAAAGCAAGATTATCCTTTTTACTTCAAAGGTAAGTACCAGTACAAACCTTTCTACTGGTCTTAGAGTCTTTGTGTCTGAGAGAAGAAGGACGCTGCAATTTCACACATGTGAATATCGGGAATTTGTGCCAATGTTCTCCATTTCGAAACCTAGTATACTTCATGTTGTGACGATACCGGGTCAAGGCTATTTAAACCATTCATTATCCTACACGACGCAACTCTTTGGCGCTTCAACACATTGTATGCAGACCCAAAAATTTACCTTCAGTCCGTGCTTTGAGACTGCGTATACTATATGCTCCCTGTGGAAAACAACCAAAAGTAGAAGACAGATGAATCTAGTTTAATCAATAGCCCAGTTCCGTCCATGGCCAGCTTACAAGCTCACGGGCGCATTGCCAACGTAACCTTGCGCAAGAAGTCACACCGCGTAAGCTTCTCTGCGCTTCATCTCCATAAAATTGAACCGTTGGCTGTACCCGGTATAAGAGCTGAGCTATAACTTGAGTTTCCCCGGCTCCTTGGACTATGCACCGTCACAGCCGTAAATTTCCTAGCCCGCCAACTGGTATGCCTCTGAGCAACAGCTACCTACCCACTCGTCAAAGTCACTGTTGTCTTGAGGGTAAGTCAAGTGTCTAGCCGGAATAATGCCTCTATGGTCTAGCCAGTTAGCTTTTAAGTATACTTACCCTTTTTGTCACAAGTATGTACCTACTGAGTAAGGTGAAACTTGAAAGAAGCTAAAGAGGACTACATCCCTGAAACCAAGTCTACACGGGACACGGGTCAGACACAGCGCTAGATGACGAAATTTTCTTCAGTGAAGTCTCTTCTACGTCTGCAACATCTGCAATAGTGAATCGCAGGTTGAGCCAAATCCAGGAGCCAACGCACACAAGAGCTCCCTGGACCCCTTCACACTCTAACCAACCCCAGCCATCAGTCATGTTCTCGTCAGAAAAGTAGCATTCCCACTCCACGTCACTCTGGGGGCCCTTTTCGTCCCTTGTCTACAAGCCTCCCCACTCGCAGACACACCCTATGTAATATGCATGCGCCAGAATCTCACATCTTCGGACCCGCCGCCTCGAGAACCGGGAAGACGGGACACAGGGAAAACACTCATCCGGTGCAAATGCTTAGGAGACAACAAGCGTCTAAGTCTACGCGCACGAGGGAGGATCAGTGGCTGAGAAGAGAATGCAGCGTTCCGTTCATGCCCCGCTCTCCTCAGCCTCTCTTGTCTCGTGCTGCTACAGAACCGGGCCGAAATTACCGGTACGCTGGATCCACACCAACTCCCGTACCACGGCCCTAGACTCCCACACACCGGCTCTTGGCATCGGTCCTTGGCGCGGGAAAGGTACAGCAGCCCAGGCTGTCGGATACTTGGTAAACGTGGTTTAAAATATCTTTGAGAGGGCTTGCGCAGTAAAGGAAACGATGCATACCGGCATGTTTTCTCTCAGCATACCACCCCCTTCCCCCTCACTGTCACCACTGTTTTGTGATTGGTCCTTGAGGGCCGCGGGGCAAAGCAAATTCTCAGTCCACACCTCAACTATCGACGCAGGCGGGTCCTGCTTCTTTGAGCTCCATCCACTTCTGCTTGTTGTTATTCAGTCTTCCTTCCTTTCCTTCGCCTTTCGCCTTTCATTGAGTCTTGTCCACGGCCGGCGACTAGACCCGCTTCAGGGTTCTTGAAAGGGCATGAGTTTCATGAACCCCCATCATGTGCCGAGGTTACCCGGCTTCAACCCCCCCGCAAGGGTCCGCTTGAGGCATTGTTCAACAGTGTATGCTAGTATTGCAGGGTCTGGGTTGAGTGCCACTTGGCTGCATATCGGTCTTGCCTTCGATCCGAAGTTGCGAGAGTAATCAAGAGCAACATTCATGAGCGCATCCCATCATTTAACGACGTAGTTGACTTATTGGCTGAGAACGACGCCCGATACCCTGCAAAAGCCCGGGAGGGTTTCGGTGTGGTCACAGGAGAGTGAAAATTGCAGCCCCCGAGCCTTGCTCCGGCCTTTCGGGGGAAAGACGTCGACATGGGCACTTGCCACTGGATCTGAATATGTAACCTTGAGAGGTCAACGGGCCAAATATACGATGAGATGGATCCCTCATTGTTGCTTTGTGCATGACTGCAGTTCTCGCAAATCGGTCGCAGATCCTGCCCTGTACCGGCTTCGACTGAAATCGACCCCATCGTCTTCGGTCTAGTAGTAAATTGCATCTTTTTCGTTTCAATAGAGCGCGGGGACTTCGGAAACAAGACGCAAATGTAATATCGAGACCCATCCGGCTTGGCAGGGTATCATCAAAATGCATCAATGTCCAACATACAGACACCCGCCGACCCGCTTCGGAGGTTCTGAAGCTTCCAAGGCGAGAAGGGCATTATGAAAACTCTCCCCCCTGCAATACCTCCGTGCAGATGGGTCTATTCCACTTGCTGTACGACCATCAACGATGGCGAGGCACGCGAGCATATGCCATATGAAGCGGCAGCTGCCCCTCTGGGCTTGCGTTATTGGAGCGGGATGCCTGCCGTCTCAGAGCATACCTTTTTTGCAGAGGACCTTCGGTGACGGATGCGGCATAGACTCGCGTGACTGCTTTCAAACTGCCCCGGGAGTGGGACTCGGTGGCCGGCGACCCCTCCAACCGCATTTGCATACCCGCTGGAATTCGGCGTATCTGTAGTGAACACTGAAGACTGCGATGCTACTATCCGATGCAGGGTTGTTTTTGGTCGGTGCACATACAACTCCTCAGATGGCCGCGACCATTCTCGGCTCCACGTTGAAAATCCTTTTACTTGATTCAATAGCCCACATAGTCGCGGTCTGGGGGCTTCGAATCCTGATGTCGGTTCTGTGGGCTTTGCAGGTACCCTGGCGTTTCTGACGACGTTGCATGGCTATGGTTTCGTGGAGGATACGGTCTAGCCAGTCTTTCGCAACCGATGAGGGGGCAGTTTACTAGATCCATGAAAACCGCCCATCTGTAGACGATCAAGAGGGGCAAATGGCGAGACCTTCCATTATGTTGCCGCTCTAATCCGCATTCGAATCCTTCACCGGGTTCGAGGAAGGATTTGGGTGGATTCCTTGTAGAACGCATGGCCCAAGACAAAGCAACACATGCAGAGATGGCCTTGACATGTGTCTCTGCTCATGTCTGCTACCTCCTGTGAGTTTGCTTGAATGTGGTCAACTGCCATTGCACCCAGCGCTGGAAGGTATTGCATCGAGTTGCAGCTTGGCGATTTGCTTGTCTCGACAGCAGGGCATGAAAGTAGCTTATTGGCAACAGACATCGACGGCTGTGCCAAAGCGTCAGAATGCCATCGCCATGCCAAGTGATGCACATTGACGGGACCTTTGCGTTGGGGAATGCCAGGAGTCCAAGGCCGATGAGACCAATAGATCTCACCAGTCGAGCACGTGGGATATACTAGAGCAGGCATTTGCCGATCCACTCTAAAATCCTGAGTGGAGAGTTAACAGGCGGCTCGCCGCGGACCACAAGCCGCGGAACGGGACCCTTGACGGAAGGACAAAGTGGTCAAGGCGGCTTTGCATCTGGCTGCTTCCTGCTCCATTGCAGTGCGTCTCCGGTGGAGAGAGAAATTAACCGGTCCTTGGGTAGGTAGTTGCGATGAGTTGAGATGTGATTACTGGAGTACGTATTCGTCAGTGATTCAGATCTTTCTAGTCAATGTCATGAAAAGAGGTAGAGGAATATTGTTACTCAGCACTTAGTCTGAGGCAAGTCAGCCAGTAAGGTTACAGACTCGTCCTTGCAGCTGATGGCGTCCAATGATTGGGCCAATGTGAGGCCCCCTCCTCGAGAGACTCTTTTCTCTCTTCTTAGTTTACCCGGCTTTTGCAATGTGACGGACGGCCCGAAGATGAGGCGGCACACCAACCCAAGGGAAAGGTGTGGCATGAAGTCGCCAAAGGCCCAAAGGCGGTGCTGAAACTGGCGGTGGGTGTTGAAATTTTTGCAATGTGGCGCGCGTGAGACATCCAGCACCGAATATTAACGAACAACGTGGTGTGTGGTTTTGTGGCACAGACAAAATTGACCTGCAATTGGGTTGCCTGAAGGGTATAGGACGCCCCACCATTTCCAAGCTTGCAGCTGAGTTTCTGTGTCTTTCCGTGCATCCTGAATTCGTGTGGGATAGACCGTCGGTGGCATGAACAAGATTACATTGAGCATGCTGGAAAACCTCATATACCCCACTATCAGTACAGGAAAAGAAGATCCAGTCGAAAGGCAAAAAGACTAGTCGTATATCTATTCATGGGCCCGTCTCGAACAATTACGCTCGCTGGCACGGTTTGGCACGGTGTACGGACTGTGCGGTCACTGACAAGGTGGCCTAGCCGGAACCGAGCCAGTCAGAGAGAAGGAATGGTGCAGAGCCGCGACACAAAATCTATCTTGTCGCGATAGTGAGACGGTCAGCTGTCAAATAAAGCAAGTGAGCATGTGCTCATCATCTAAGTTAGGTTCATCCGCTTACGGATGAGGGGGAATTGGAGGGGAACCCCGACTGGTATGTTATCTGTGCCGAGCAACGATGCTCCCCGGCGGCGAGGATGATAGCAGCGGGCGAGACCAATCATGAGGCAGTATGCTTTTTAAAGCACAAACTCAGTCATGTCGCAATGCTGCATGGTCGTGTGCGTTGCATGCAAGCGAATGGGCAAAGTCGCAGCTGCAATGGCGAAAGCACCGAGGAGCCCGGACGCGCGCTGAGCGGGTCGAACTCAATCGTTTGGTTAACGGACGAGATGAGACTGTCCGCAAGTTGCAAACTATCCTCTCCTTCTCCGTCTCCGAAGCGGTCGGTCCCAGTCAAGACTCTGAGTTTTGGCACTGTCTTTTTGTCAGATACGGCCGGGTTCCAATGGCTCAAGAGAATAAAGTAGGTAGCGGGCTCCCACAGCAATCCGAGTATAGGCGGGGCGGGGCGCCGCCGGGTCTGGTGCTGAGTCTTGCCGGGTACAATTAGCCCGGACTGATTGGGCCAAAGAGGTCGGACAACACAGACTACCACGATCCGAGGGTAGTCGTTATGTAGTCGAGGCAATCCCTGGGTGCGCTAGAGCAGAATCAGATGCAACGAGGCAGAGATTTCTTTTTGGGTTTCCACCGGCCGTCCACTGTCAAGGTTTTCGTCGGCAAGGTACGAATACGGTAGTGAATATTCGGTAGAGTCAGCGGTTGGGATATTTGAGGAAAAAATATGATTGACTTGGCGCTAAGGCGGCATCGCGGCGTTTCTTTGTGAAGATTTGGGAGGACGTATCCGTAAGTACAGGTAGAAGGCGAAAGCTTGTTGGAGATGAACACACTTGGAGTTGGCCCCCGGCCACTCTTGTTCAAAAGTGCATGGAGTTGGAGAAGACCGTAGGAGGCAGGAATGGCCGAGAAAAGAAGGAATTGCCTAAGATGAGTGCGAGTTGCTGCCCGCCCCATCTGCCCGTATCGCAGGTGCATCAACGGGGAACAAGGGCACGAACGCAGTGCGGCAGGGGTGCCTCCCCTGACAACGCGAGCTTGCCCCTGCGACTCGATAAGGAGGGCATGGAGCGGAAGGAGAGGATGGATAAAGTGGGTCGGAGATGGGCCATGCCTGCCTCCAGCTGCACCTCATACAGAAACGGCAGCGAAACAGCATCGGGGGCTGCAGGAGCGTCATTGGGTGGAGGGAAGGAGGGAGACAAGACTTGGCGGCAGGTGAAGTCATTCCCGGGCCATCTCAACCTCAATTCCTGTCGCAGCTCGCCATGGTCGTTGCCATTGTCGCAATTGCAATAGCAACTTCAAGGGTGATGACTTCCCATTTCCGAACTGAAATTTTCACCATATCTGAGAATCTACGCGCAATCCACACCATGCTGGCCATCACGGTTCACCCGAATCCCATCTATCGCCGTTGCTCAACTGTCGTGACATTTGTTGGAGGAGGGGGACCCTCAAGGTAGCAACCTTAGGCTATAGCTCACCCATGATTCAATTGCTCCGAGTCCCCTCCCTCCCGCAGCCGATGACCGTGCCAATGTGCTAACAATGGCCTTGCGAGCGGAGACGGTAGACCTGGGGAGCAAGTACGTAGTCACGATGCCCATTGCCCACAATTGCTGTGTATCCGTAAGGTGGTACTGCACATTTGAGTCCCGTCATTGTCACCGAAATTGTACTTGTACTGGCTTATGTAAGGAGTCAAACGTACCCGGCGTGCTTTGGGTGCGCAGCGCGTTTGGCGAATGTCCCTTTCTCTCTGCCGCGCGCCGAGGAATCGCGGATTGTCCCTCGTGTGGCACCCAGGGGCGTCATAGACACGAGGGTTGCTGCACCAATTGATTCTGCTGCTGCGAGCCAAGACGTGACATGGCAGCGTCCAAGGCATTTGCATCGAGCGAGCCCAGCTTGGTACCTATTCTCTGAGCCGGCATGCAGCAAGCCGCAGCGCGGTGCCGCTGCAGGTGGAGGTGGGAGAAAGGTGGCGGTAAGAAAAGTGAGTAATATCTAAGTCATTTGAAGACGAATCCCAAGTCCCGTTCCTGCGGAAAAGAACCTTCCCATTCCGCACCTACCTAAGGTACTTACCTTACTTACCTTTGCTTAGGTAGCTATCTGTGAGGTATGTTCCTTCCCAACCCAGAATCCCGGGCAACACATTCAACGCATCCAACCAAGGGAAGGGTCCATACACTTCCCACCCATGTGCAGTTCCTCTCCACTCGGATGCGAGAATGAGGCCGAGTGCAGTCAAGATTGGGCTGAACTGGCGCTGGCGACCAAAGCCTGCAATTGACCCGATACGCTGCACGACGCCTCCTGCCTTCACCTCATCCAGCGTGTGCGACTACCTACTTTACCTGCCTTGCGTGGCATGTACCCGTTCCCGTACCTGTTCCTGTTCCTGATTCTGTTCCGAAGTATCGCTACCTAATCAGATACCGGGCCTGCCTGCCCGCGTGGGCCGCAACCTCTAGACCACCGAGGTCCAGTCGACTTCGCACACGCCCAAACGCCGTTGCCGTATCGCACCTATCGCAAGCCACCCCGGACCGTGAACAAGGACTCGGCCTGATAGATCCATGTAACCAGACCCTTCACTGCCTCGCCCCCCCATCCGGACCATCCCCCATCTCTCCATCCACCACCACTCTGGCACTCCCCTCCCCTCTCCATCTCATCATATCCCTGTCACCATTTAATCAAGGCAAGCGCCCCGGTTCTGGCCAGTCTCCTCCCAATCTGCATGTATTTAGACTTTGGCCCGTCTTTGCCCAGACAACCCACCGTTGCTCAAATACTTTCGCAATTCGTCGACCGCTCAGCTTTCCTCCCATTATCTTTTCGCCTTCAGCTTCTCCGGAACTGACCATAATCGTCTGCCCTGCACATAAATTTGATAGCTTGCAGAACATATCTGTCGGCGCTGGTACATTCTTGCGCACTTGGACGAATTGACCGACTGAGTAACTGTCATTGCGTCATCCGAACCCGCCGAACCGGACTCTTTATCTCTGCCACCAACCCCAGGTCCCAAGCTGGAAATCGACTAAATACGAGAATCCGCGCCGTCGCTTCCATACACTACCCGAGCGCACCGCACCGTCCCGACCTCCTCCTCCTTCTCCTACCACGCAATTGGTGAAGATCCTTTCGCAGGAGATTTGAAGGCTATGAAATACGGCGAACAGCTCGAGCAGGAATCCGTTCCAGAATGGAGTTTACGTGGGTTACCCCGTTCATGCAAGACATGATTGGCACGTGAAGGTGATTCCGGCTAACCGGTAACTTTTGACCACAGATAACGTCGATTACAACTCGCTCAAGCATGAGATCAAGGTTCACACGAGCCGCGACCAGGCGACCGCAATCGCCATCCCCGGTCACCAAGATGCCGCTCTCAAGCGGTTTGAGGACAATCTCTACCACGAGCTTTGCCAACAGCACGACCGAGTCGATCTTTTCGTCTCTAGCAAGGCGGACGAGCTTTCGCGCCGATTGCGTAAGTTCACAACCTGTTGAAGAGTGTTGGGGACACGGGATTACAATGGCTAAACGCAACCCCTAGAATACATCGCCGACCAGCTTCAAAAGTTGATTGTCAAATGTGCCGAGGAAGGCCACAGCATTTCGATCAAACAGCACCGCCGGTTCGCCAAGTACGAGAGGGACCTGCTTCGCTGCGGAGAAGAAACTCTCGCGCTCGCTCGCTTCATTAATGCCCAGATAACGGCTTTCCGAAAGATTACGAAGAAGTACAAGGTAAGTGATGAATATACTGTGTGGTGCAATTGAGCTCTTGCTGATTAGTTTGGTCAAGAAATGGACGGGATCATCCACACTCGGCGCACGCTTTCGCGAAAACGTGCTCGCCAATCCCAAGAGCTTCACCCGTCGCGACCTGAATAACCTACAGACACGCTACGAGGAGTTGCTCAACACTCTCCGCACCTCCACACCCCAATTGAGCGAGCCCAGCTCGCCTTCCTCGGACGAGCAGACACCCACACGGCGAGGGTCTACCGCAGAGAGTTTCTTCGCGCCATTACCACCTGCAGAGCGAATCCCTCGAAAGCCTGTTCAACAGCAACAGCACTACTGGAATGAATATGACGATGGCAGCGAGAATGGTGGACAAGAAGAAGAATACGCCATCTACATCAATCCCGACGAAGATATGAGCTTTCCTGGTTTGGACTCGATGCGTGCGATTCTTGCCGCGCCCTTCCGTCACGCAAAGACATGGTTTTCACGGCGGCAGAATCCTGAAGGGCAGCGATTGTTGGGTAGCGAACCTTTCCTGCAGAGCTACGGCGGCATTTCACCACTTGGCACGGATACCGACGAGTACGCGAGCTCCGATGGCATGCCCACAAACGGATACGCCACACACTATGCTACGCTACCCAGCATCAATGAGCAGCAAGTGCGACGATACCGCGAGCGCGTTTTGTTCTGGGCCACCGTTGGCTGTTTCGGTGTATCTTTCCTACTACTCCTTGTGGCTGGCATTCTCATTTCAACGGGCCGCCACAAGCTCCGCGCTGAGGTTGACGCAGGCGTGATAGTCGGCGTCGTGGCCAGTCTCTTCAGCGCCTGCCTCGCCCTGGGCATGTCGCTCTATCGGCGCGACGACTTGGGCATCTGGCAACGTGTAGCTGTGTATAGCAGCTTCTTCACAGCCTGTGTGCTCAACGGCATGCTGCTGATCCTGGTGGTGGGGAACGCGGCATAGTGGCCCCTAATTTTTTCTTCTTTTTTGTTTAGCTGGGTTGTCATAGACCCATGGTTGAACTCTCTCTCTCTCCTTTGTCTATTGATTGATTGCATCGGCGACTGGGAGAATGGTGGAGGGGAAACTTGAAATTTGTGGGACTTGTTTTTTTCTGTCACTGAAGCGAGGTGAGGAATTTTGACAACCTTTGGGAAAATTCCGCGGGGCGTTTTGTTTTTTTTTCCTCTTGTACTGCAACTAAAATAGCGGCCGCATCACTGCGCCGCCAATTTTTCTTTTTTCTTTTTGCCCCCAGATACCATAACTACATCAATACCTATTAGAATTGGGCAAAATTGCTTGACTGTTGTTGGTGGCGCCCTTTGACGATTTGCACTCTCTGCTTATTCCATTGTCTGGAATCCGGCGAGAAATGACTGGGCTCCATAAGGTACGGTCTGTCGTACGGACCGATATTTAATAGTGCGGGCATCACAGTGATGGAATTTCTCATGATTCAGATGAATGCCATCTTTTTCTTATTCCCCTCCTGATCCATCGCCATAGAGAACGATGCTTTGAGTACCGATCGGTATGCCACAAGATCTCAGTTGTCTCATTACCCCCCCCCCTCAAAAGTGGCGTCCAGGTGGCGGGCGGATTGGCATGTGCTTCATGGCCGTTTTCGGTACCAGGCCGGTCCAGTCAAATCCAGAAATAAACCTAAGACAAGATGAGGCCAAGAGCATACCCTTTCCACTCGTCGGCCCCCTCCGCGAGGTTTGGATGCGAAAGTCTCAGACAGATGGAGAGATAGAGCCAAGGCACCGGTGACTAAGGTAGCACAGTAGGCACAGGGAGAGAGAGAGAGAAACCCTGCACGTTGCAATCGGCTGAGGGCTGCTGGAATAACAAAGGTCTCTCTAGGACTGGAGACGCCGCCGTCGCAGCGCCGCAGCGCGGCAGCTTCTCCTCGTCTCAACTACGGCCCATCTTGACTGGCAAGTTGACCCGAATGTCACAAACCCGCAAAACAAGGCACGTGCGAAGGAGATTGCGGGGTTTGCTGTTTGAAAGCTCCCATCGCAAGAGCTGCCTGACCTTTCAAAAGGTAACTGGAGGAAACCCTCATGGAGTTAAGCAAGAAGGGGGTTTTCAGCGTTGCGCCGTATAACGGTCTGCGTTTTTGGACAAGAGAGGGGGAGTTGTGGTTTGGTTCAATCTTTTTGTGCAAGCAGCCTAGGCGCTCATCGTAACAGAAAACAATGCGATGCGAATGGCTGGCTGGCGCCCAACTGACAAAGCCAGAAGACTCGAAATTGAGTCTCTCTGTCCGCTCGTGGAGACTTCGATGTACGGAAAACCGTACAGACTCGGAGCCCCAGAGACTAGCTCTAGCAGACTGGCGAACAACGGCATATCACGACGCAACTGCGAATGAACTGTCGTCTCCGCTAGCCAAGCATATCGCCCGCAGCCGATTCAGACATTCAAACGAGAATGGGGCTGTCTGTTGCAGGATATTGCTCAACATCGTGTCTCGAAAGGCTGGAAAGTTCCCCTCGAATGGTCTTTCCAGACAATGCAGCCGCAGCCTTACGAAACTCGTCGGGCATTCCCCAGCGCACAGGCAATCACTCTTTCCCCGCTCTGCAGTCACGGCCTGAGCAACTTTTGCCGGTGTTTTGACGAAATAGCAGCAAATTGAGACTCGAGCCTCGCAAATGTTTGCTTGCAGACTGGAACGAGAATAGGGTTCGTCGCATGGCCCATCCGTGAGCTCTGGACCGGTCGCATGGAGGATGACGAAGTGTTATCATGCGACATTGCTTGTGACCAACACAGATCGCTTGGTGGCTATGCATAGCCGCGGACCTTTCCTCAATCCAATCCAAATTCCTTTGGGAATTGCCCACGGTATCTTTGCCTGATCCAAAATCAGCCGTCGCCAGCCGTCAATGTAGACAACGAGCTTTGTCTGAGTGTTGATGTGTGGACAGATCGTAGATGCGGAAACAACTTCGGATGAAAACGACGTGCCGTCTCCACCGCCGGCGACTCTGCTCAGACGAAGTTCAATATGATTTATGCCGAGGGGCCGAGCTTCTGCTCATTCGGGAGCCGAATAGTGTCCGCAAGTCATATTGCCGAGTGTACATCTTGTAGAGTCAGCTTTCAACTCCGAACTCGCTCCAGACCATCGACAATTTGCTCACTTTTTGCACATTTTGACGCCGGTACTTCTCGCCTCGTGGACCCTATCGAACTCTTCCAAAAGCCACCCTAGAGCATGAGATTAGCAAGTACCCATTGTCTTGCCGGCTTTAGGGGGCCTTACGGGAACAGGCCCATCTTTTGGTTGTACTCTCAACGTTCTGTCTGACCTCCGCCATCAGGTCGTCTGCACCTTCTAAGAGGGAGTCGTAGTGGAAGAGAAGCTGCATCGTGTGGAAGAGAGCATACGGCCAGACTGCTGCACAGTGCTCCAAAACGTCATCGCGATTGGAGTAGGCGTTGAAGATCCCGTTCGAGCCATCAATCACGAGACCAATGGTGAATTTGATGCCGGCAACTGCCTTCTTCATTTCCATATCGGTCTCTGGGTCCCGGGCAGGCGTTCCTGGCCTATTGGCAGTGTACAGGAAAGAGTAAAAGAGAAGACAGAACAAGCTAGGGCGTACTTAGCAAACTGCAAACCACATTGGCCAGCATCATCAACCTACCTAGCACAAAGAGCATAAGTGTTTAGATTCTCACTCCAAGTCTCGGATCGAGTAATCAGGGCTTCAATGAGGTCTCTCGTCGCCGATTCTAGCTGAACAAACGAGTAGACAGTCGGGGGTTCTTCGATTTCGGCGTTTGCCGCCTCCCAATTGACGGCGTAGCCAAGAAGTATGGCGGCTTGGCAGGACCTTTGAAAGGCGCCAACGCGCACCGACGCCGGGATGTTACTAGGGTACCGCTTGATCATCTTGATTGGGCCGTTTCTGTCGTTATCCCAAAGAAGATGCTCCGTCGGGAGAAGGTCGTCGTCAGAAGGCATGTCCATCTGGAGCGGTGTCCAAAGTGTTGCGGATTGCTCGTGGGAGATCCTATGCGAGTCAGCAAAGCCGCTCACAAATGACATCCAGCAGCTCGTACTTATCCATGATCACAAGGACCCACCAAAGAGCTCGTATTTGCTCTTCTTCGGGCTCAGCAGGCAGGTCCTCTTCGCCCTCAATGTATTTACCTGGTCTGAGATTCAACACCTTGCCGATAGAAGCCGTCTCGCCGAAAGTGCGGTAGCAGCGAGTGATGTCGCCATGGCCCAGCTCGTACAGTGATATCAGAACACCGCACTGGACATGCTCAATCTTGGGCTTTGAGAACGCTTTCCTCAGAGTCCATATCCGCTTGGCTGACTGATAGAGCGGATGATGAAGCATAGCGGTAGACGAGAACTCGTCACAATTCCAGATGGTCAGTAGGTGGATGCACAAGACAAGCAAGGCCAGGTCGGAGTCGCTGGGGTTGGTGTCGAGCTGGGCCGCAGCACATCGTGCCTGCCAGACCTCGGGGTGGATTACGAGGAGCCATGTGTTGACGGTGTTGAAGTAGGTGTTGATGGAAGCTTTCCAGTCGATGCCGTTTCCGTTCAGGAGCTGCATTATCTGATCAGCAGTGAAGTCGACCTGATTGAGCCAGTCGAAGGCAGGCCGGGCGTCGCCGCCAGAAGAGTTGGCATTGCCAGTGGCGCCCTGCGCATCGACAATGGTGAGGGATGGCGGGTTGACGACAAAGTCGTAGCAACAATTGGTGGTGAGTCTACATGCTAGTCAGAATAGGCGTGGACATTTTGGCGGGAGCAACGTCCATTGAGAGGTAGGGAGAGAGGGGGAGAGAGAGAAAGGGCGGGGAGGGAAAAAAAGACAAGGCTCACCTGGTACATCTCGAGCAAGCGGGCAGGCCTTTGTCGCACTTCTTCTTGGTTCTGGTGCATTTTTCGCAGGCGCGGTGGGCGCGGGGCGGGGCGTCTGCGGCAGACTGATGACTTGACGACGACGACGATAAACGATTTGTGTAACGCGAGCTCGAGTTGACATTGTCGGAATCCTCGGACGGCGGCGTCACGGCAAGTCTTTGGACCTGTCTCGCCATGTTGTTTACTTGCGTCTAGACTCGCAGTCGCTGCGCTGTGCTGGATTCGGTTACGCAGCTCAGCCAGAGAAGCGCGGGTGCCGCCAAAGGGCAAACTGCACGAGGCGATAAATTGACGCAAGAGATGGTGGAAGCAGAGTTTCGATGGTGCAAGCGCGAGAGGGTCAAAAGAAAACGAGAAATGTGTCCCACCACGAATTCGTCTCCGGATGGTTGTCGGCAGGGCACAATAGTAGACTGATGTTAAGGTGGCTCGCCTTGGGTGAAGGAGGCACGGCTGATCAATGCATGCAGGACCGGCAGCGGCAGCGGCAACAGCGATAGCGGCAACAGGGACAGCAGCAGCGGCAGCAGCCTGCAGCAACAGCGACAGCAGCAACGGCAACGGCAATGGCAACGGCAGCGGCAGCGGCAAGTCCAGACAGACGAGGTCTTTGGGGATCTTGGTTTTGCTGGATTGAGCTGGGCTGAGGATTATTAAGGTGAGGTAGGAGCAACAGACAAGCTAATTAACGTACGCGTACGGGGAATACACTAAAGGTAGGTAGTGTTGAATTGCTAGCCGTTCTCTCTTACTGGCAAGTGCGATGTTCCCTACTAGTGCCGCATGCTCCACAGGTCCAGACTCTCCGCGCGTGGCCTCTTGTGGCCAAGAAGGGACTCGAATGGAGGGGGGAGCAAGTCAACCCAAGCGGATCCTTGCTCGATACAGTCTTAATCCCGGCCCCGGCTACCACTCGAGGGGCCACATCGTGACTGATGTTGCGCCTTGCCCATGTTGCCGCCCATGTCAGTCCTCTCTTTGTTCGGCCCATGAAAGCATGTGTAACACGAGAACGGCGAACGGGGGGCGGCGGCTTGGCAGCCTCGCTCTTTGCCATGTACGCAGTAAAGCGGTTTTTTGGGCTTCCTTTTGGCTTGGTCTTACCGCGTATGAGGGACGGTTGCAATCGACCAAGTGCCGACTTGCTTCCATTTTCTTTCTTCCACGCCGGCAGTCCTCTGTCTTGTGGCGGCTACGTCGGATACTGATGTCTGACGCTGGTCGATCTTGGCCTGGCGAGGGCTGCAAGATGCCAGATTTGACTTTGACTGGCACTTGCAATGAAAGACATGGACGTTCTGGTCAAGGGACAAAACATTCTCTACTTGACGACTTACTACCGACTTGACGAGCTGGGAAAGACAAGGTACGTATTCCTTCTCGGCACCTGTCGTGCTTCCTTCCCGAGTCTGGTCTCCAGCTCCTCCCCTCCAGACTCCAGTCGTCCCCGGTCACAAATGTGCTTTGAGTGACTTGTTGCGCTTGGGCCCTCGGCAACATGTACTTACCTAATCAGCAAACGTCTGCGTTCGTACTAGCGTTCATCCTTGCAGGGCCGCAACGGACATCACCTCCGTCAACCAGCAAGGGCATCTTGACACCCAACATACGGGCAACGACCGATTGCAGCCAGATCGAACCGATGCCTTTTGTGCCCCGTGTCTCGGTGTAAGACAGGCCAACAACGAAAATAAGCAAAGTGGTGCCATGCAGTCTGGCCACACGAACACCTCGCGACCTTCCAGAACCACTCCAAAATGCTGGAATCAATCGAACCTACCGCATCCACGACCGCGACCATCTTGATCCCCCGAATCCGGTCCGGAACCGGTAGGCAATGACGTGACGCAAAAACACTTGGAGTTGTCAGCAAGCCCCCATGTGTCTGCAGTCCCCTCACGTAGGGCTGACCTGAAGAATCACGGCGCCCAGGAAAGGGGTGCGCCATGCCTTCATTTAGACGCCCCCTCCTGACCAGAGTGACCAGTGATCGCTCCTATCCGACGTTACACAACACCTCCGGTATTGCGGAACTTTCAAAAGCCAAACCCTATGGTCAACCACCCACTCCACCGTTACCGCCCTTTGTGCGACCAGCCTTTTTAGAGTCCATCACGTCAACGATTGGTCAAACGGACGAACTCGAGCCCGCCTTACAGGAACGGGCTGGAGATAACAAAACGCTCAAATCCAGATCAACGTCTCTCAAAACATCACGTCTTGCCTCCTCCACTTTCTCTCTCTCCTTCATTTCCCCCATCGTATGGAGCAGGGCCGCTTCGCCCGCGTCGATTCTGCAAGGCTAGGGTTCGGTCAGCTTCGCGGCCGCAGATTTCCAAGCCCGCGCCGCTTCCACGTGGACGGGACGGAAGCCTTCAACCAGGTATTCGGATCCTGCCTCCCAACCTCTTGGGCGAGGTGCAGCTTTTCAGGGGCCAAAAATTCTAAACATGGCGCAAGGTATGGATACACAGTAAGTTGGTGTGTTGCGAAGGACAGGCCCCACTTGTCGCCGATGACCTCCGCAGTCCTCAGCCCGGGGCGACAGCTCGCAAGGTGGAACTGCGCCCGGCGGCGTATGTAGTCTGCTTCGGCCGTGTCCTCGGCCGATCGGTCTCCGCATGTCACCACCGATTCGGCTTCCGCATCCGAATGCTGGTTGGTAGTCGAGCCGGCGTGGTACGCCGGACCAACTCTCCGAAAGACCATGGCCGGGATCAAACCTTAGAGATTAATCCCCCATGCAGATGCGGGAACTTTTGGAGCCGGTTTCCCCGCGTCGCGTGCTCGCCGGTTGAGTCATTCGGTTTTGCAACCAACAAACGTCAATGAACCAACCTCTCTCGCCATTGCGGTGATGATCCACCAAAGACCTTCAAATCGACACTTTCCCCATGAAGCTGTCTGCAGACCATACCTACTCCTCGCCCTCATCAACCCATCCGGCTCTCGAATTCCGTCATCGTACCCAGAGCACCCCCCATTGGTCAATCGCAACCAAAAACCGAGGATAGCACCGCGACCACCAGCAAGTCCTGTTCCCACTCTGATTCGCAATCGGCTTCGGCTTCGGCCTACCACCGGACCTTTAAGCCCCTCTCCTCCGCTCGAAACCAGGCACTTTTCCAACAAGCTTGTGAAGAACCTCCCAGACGAATCAATTATCCAGTCTGGATCAAATAAAAACTTTTAATACCACACCGCACACACAATGTCCAAGCCACAATTCCGCATCCGCCCAGGCACCTCCGCCGACACGGCAGCCATCGTCGACATCTACATGGCCGCCTTTGGCGACGATTGGGCCGTTGAAAAAATGCACCCCCGCCGCCGCGAGTTCCCCGACGACTGGCGCGCCGCCGCCCACCGCTTCTTTTACTCGCGCTACTGGGGTCCCGAGCAGCAGCTCTTCCACGTCCTCACCGTCCCGGAAGACAACCCGGACGCCTCATCCCCCTCCTCCGGCGGCAGCGGTGGCGAGCGCATCGCCGGATTCAGCTGGTGGCGCCGTCCGTACCCCACCCCCGCCGAGAAATCCGCCGCCGAAGGCCCCCTCACCCTCCGCGGCTGGCTGAAGCCGATCCTCCTCGGCATAAACGCCCTGGCGGGCTACCTCTGGCCACCGAGGTCCCTCGACCCGGCCATGCTCACCCTCTTTGACGACACGCACATGGCCTCGGACGTGCTCACGCAGGACCCGGCGTACCCGCGGCGCAAGACGGCGTGGTACCTCTCCACGCTGGCGGTGGCGCCCGAGTTTCAGGGAAAGGGGTTCGGGTCCCTGCTTGTCGGGGAGGGTCTGCGGCAGGTGGACGAGGAGGGCGTGCCGGCGTGGCTCATTGGGCTTGTGGGGGTCGAGCCGTTTTATGAGAGACTTGGGTTTGTTGTCAAGGGGCGGGCGAATGTGGGGAGGCTTGCTGAGTGGGATGGCGGGTCGATCATGTTTCGGGAGTAGAAGACTTTGTCTGGATATTGGGAGATGGGGGAGGAAAGAGAGGACGCGGGAGGTTGGAGGGTGCGGTTGAAGTACTACGCTCCTGGCTCCCCCCCCCCCCTCTTCCCCCAGGCTCCCGTCAGGTGGTGGAGTGTCTCGGAGAGGTAGGTTTGCGTAGACAGTGGTGGACAGTGTCATGGTTCTCATGTTGAACAAGACAGGGAAATACTCCCACTTATTGACTAATTGAAGAGATGCCAGAAAGAAAAGTAGATATAACAAGACGAACAGATTATATGCACACCTCGAGACTAGAAAGCCGACTTTGTGCGGGAAACACCCTATTTATTGCCCCTGTCACGTTGCACGGAGCCATGACAAAAGCCCAAGCTGCCTGTATCAATCAGATCAGGAGCTCCCCCCTCCCCCAAGCCCCCCAAAGCTAAATACACTTTTCTATGAAGCTTTCCAACTTTGTATCGGCGATGCTACGCTTAGAAATCGGGGGGGCCACTCTACGTTCCTCAACATTTATTCTTCCTTCAAAGCCACCGACCCTCCTTTGAGTCCTTCGCGAGAGTCCTACAGTCCTCATTCATCCAGACGCTCACTCAGTAGAATTGGCCCACAAAGGCGCAAGTTCTCTCTCATGGGCAAAGAATATGCAAAGTCCCGGAGCTCTCTCCCTCCATCTCTGCTACTCTGTTATTTCCAAAAAGGCAAGTGATTCGGTTCTCGTCGGAATGAGATAGAGACCCATTGGCGAAAATAGAAAGTCCCTTACGAGAACCATGTAGATTGTGCTTCTTCTTCAGTGACAAATAGTCCACATTACTACCCAAGATCCCTCCTCTAGGCCGTATAGACAGATTGTCAAGTTTCACAGGCCTTGGAAACAACCTCGACACATCATTCATTGTCCTTTTATCAAATCCCAACACCAAAAAGTTGCTTAGAGTCACTATTCATCCATCAGCCTTCGCACCTCACATCACAAATTCACGGGCAAATGAATTCCATACTTCTTTACTTAACTGCGTTTTTATTTGGCCGAGCTATCTAAGCGTTCAAAGCCCTTGTAAGAAGAAGCATTAACAGATTCAAGGAAAGTTTTTTGGTCGCGTCGCCCATTCCACTCCCACTCTCCCAGCCCCCACTGTGTCCGCTTCCATTCACCGTCTCACCCCTCCTCGAGACGACTCTAGATATCTCGGCCCAAACACCATCCGTGAGGAAAAGGACGATTGCCAGAACCATGAAGTCCAATCGATAAGGAGGGGGAGGGAGTAAGAGGAAGAAACCTGTCCGCAAAAATGACCAAAGGATGAAAAGTCAGAGGGTGCGGAAAAGATAGGAGACGGGTAGAAGCGAAGAGAAACGCATCGCGGAAGAAAAATTTGAGAAAAAAAGCAAAGAACCGAAAAGTCAACGCCATTTTCAGATCCGATAGTGAATCCCAGACCAGTCCCTCCCGTCCATCCGCCAAAACCCCAGACCGCCGCCCGCCGCCGTCCGTATTCATACAAATGCCGTGTCCGCTGCCCCTTCTCAATCGAGACGGCCGTTGCGCATCCCTTGAGATTCCCGCTCCCGACCTTGCCACTGCAAGATAGGCCCGTAGAAAAAGTAGTGAAAGTTGCCCTGCCATCTAGGACTTTCTAAAGAGAATCCCAAACCAACCCCCGAGTTGCTCATGTCAAGCGTGTGCCGTTGATCCGTGCGATGTCCAGTCATCCATCGTTCGATCGTTGCCAGGGGAGGTGGAAAGTGGCCGAGCCCTTGCCGTGAAAGATAAAAGAAAGTCCGTGTACAATGTAATTTTTGTTTTCCGCTATTCCTCATGCAAAATTGGCCGTGCAACGAGAGAAGAAAAAAGAGAGGGGTAATTAAAGAAAGAGAGAGGTATAGGAAAACCAAATGACCGCTTGCCGTTCCCCAATGTTGACTCCGATTTTGATGCCGTGTCGACGTGACATGAATGCAAGTATAAGGAAGGCCGTTTCAAAAGAGTGCTTGTTTCTTGTCTCGATCTCGGATTGCCCCAATCAGTGACGAGTGCCATCATTCATGGGCTGCATGGTTTGCATGGGCTGCATGGGCGGCGTGGCGTAGGAGGAATGGCGCGAGTGCTCGGGAGTCCGATCATAGCCTTGCTGGTTTGGGGCCACCGCGAAACCGTGCGCCGAGGGAGCGCGGTGCATGGCACGGGGTGCGTTCGGAGTGCTCTGGTGACGAGTGTGTCTGTTGGCGCCTACAGGACCAAGGCGAGACGCAGGATTGGGTTGGAACGGAGAGCCGCCGTAAGCGTACTGCCGCTGAGGGTCCTCGTAGTAGTTGGGCTGAGCGGCCTGGGCAAACGGGTTGTCGTGAGGACGAGGGTAGGTGCCATCGTACTGATCTGGCTGCTGCTGTTGTTGTTGTTGCTGCTGCTGGTCAACCGGGTTGGGTGCGTATCCGTAAGGACCGAAGCCCGAAGACGAGTTGGGTCGGTACGTGGGATTCTGTCCCTGATGGAAGCCCCCACCAATTTCGCTCTGAGATCGCTGATGGTATGCCCGACGAGGGTCAGGGTAGGCAGGCATCGGAGTCGACGTCTCGAGGTGAGAAGCCATGGACTTGCTGCCGCGACGCTGGGGAGTCGGTGCGGGGAGAGGTCCACCTTGAGGGCCACCGGCACCAAAGATGAAGGGTCCAGAACCCATCTGGGGCTGGCGGTAGTAATCCTCCTCGGGGTGATTCTCACGGATGTTGCCAAAGGCGGGGCGATGCGGGATGTTCATACGACGCATGCCTGATGGAACTCGAGGCATGCCGGGAATTGCGTTGCGATCCTCATAGAAGCCGGCTAGAGAAATGTCAGTATTGTGGTGCCAATCTTTGAATGAAGAGGAGTATTTACTTTCATGGCCCCAGTAGGCATTGGGCTGGCTGACGCGTCTAGCCATAGGAAGTGCCTCGGGTCTAAGAGCAACACCCATTGACTGCGAACGCTTGTGGGCAGCTCCGCCGCTCGTCTTGCGCTTGAGGTAGGTCTTGGGCTTCTCGTCAGGGCCATCGCTGCTGATGGTAGGGAGGATCTCGATGTCGGGAATCTGGCTCAGGCTGCCACCATCGATCTCGGTCTTCAACTGAGCCACAATCTCCTGAATCGCAACAGTGGTGTATCCAGCACCGCACTTGCTGAGGAGCCATTCGGGGACGGCAGTGCCGTTGAGCATAGCACCGTCGAGCTGCTCGTCCTCGGACTCATCTTGATAGGCACGCTTCTTCGACTCCTTCTTATCTTCCAATCGCTTCTGCTCTCGCTTGCGGATGGCAAGAGACCAGCTGTTCACCACACCTGCCTTGCCGGCTCTCTCATTTTCGTCGCTCCACTGCTGAACTCTGGCGATCTGCTTCTGCACGAGGTCAACCTGGAGCTTGGAGTACTCATGAGCATTGCGGTAACGGCTGCGCTGGTAGTGCTTGCGGCAGAAGTGAACCCAGACGTGAGCGGGAATCATGCGGGTGCACAATTTGTTGCGACCGAAAATGTGTGAAATGGCCTTGCGGGGTTGAGATCCGGTGTCGCAGTTCTCAATGTACATGCACTTAATCTCATCGTTACCGGACACGGCCGGGGGAGAGTCGGGAGGAGACATGCCGTACGTCTGTTGCTGTTGCGGTGGAAAGGGCGCAGTTTCCGATACCGAAGGAAAAGGCTGAAAGGTCGGCGCAGAGATAGCGGCAAAGTCAGGAGCAGAAACAGCTCGTTTGTGGGTTCTTGACGATTGATCTTGCGGTAAAGAGAGGTAATTAAGATTGTCTTGCTGTTGTTTTGAATGAGGGCTATTGTTCGATGTGATCAGCAGAGTCCAGCTCAAGATTAATTGAAGTTTTCGGTTTGATTTGCTCAGAGAGAGATGGATCGTGATTTGTGAGGAGGAACGGGAGAGAATAGGAAGAAGGATCGATTCTTGAATGGGTTGGTTTAAAGGGATGGTGACTCTCCGAGGCGGTGGGTGACAGGAAGTTCAAGGTGAATCACGAGGCCTCTTTGAGACCGCAGAGTCGCTTCGCGGTCAGATGAAAGGGAAGGGGCGGCGGGTCACGTGGAAGGCCGTTATTCAAATAATTTTTCGAGGTGATCGTGAGGTGAAAAACATGTGCATGAAGTGGAGCCAAGAAAGGTGAAGTGAGCTCGGTAGAAGTGATGTGAACCCAGGAGAAGGGGGAAGTTCGAGTGAGGTCAGATAGATGCTGAGGAAAGCGCGTTTGAGACGGGATTGTCCCAAAGTACTCCTCTCTCAAACATCCTCTCTGGGCAAATCGAGGGCATTATTCGCAAGGAGTACAGCACGAAGCACATATCACGTACCTCAAACCGTCGGTTGGACTTGACCGGTTGCTGCCACCCATCCCTCGGGTAATGAGAATCGCATCGGACGGACTTCCCGGTCTTCCAGTTCCCTTCATTGCAGGATCCATGACCACAGGATCATGTTGACCCATCGTTCTTGGCGACGGGGGCTGAATATCAATCATGCCTGGGCCGCCCATGGCTTGCTGGTGATCGAGTTTCCTGTCGAAGGCTGGTACATCGTTCAACAGAGACGTGAACGGCTGAATGCCGCTCACAGTAGATAATGAGGATATCCTTGAGTGACCTCCTGACTGGTTGGAGGAGGTATAGGACGATAAGCTGCTATGGCTGTCGGAGAATTTGTGTTTCGGGGATTTGGGAAATCCTCCCGTCGCATGATGACCATCATCGTCGCGGGAAAGATTGGGCCTGGTAGAAGATTAGCATCTACGTATCCCAAGGAGGAGCATCATTTTCCTAGATTGAGGCTCTTGCTACTCCATCGAAGGGTCTTTGGGATAGGCGTCGTGTCTATGCTGAAAGAATACTCCAAGCCAGCGTATTTGCTCTATTGCTTACCGTGCCGTTAATTGAGCATCCGAATCACCGGGAATGCTAGGCCTGGGGAACGTTAGCCAAGTACGAATACGATTGATGATATGCCGCGACATGATGGCATTGTAGACAACTCCCTCAGCTGGCTGACCTTTGGCTAGTCTCAACGTGAAGTTGTGATTCTGGCTCGCCTAGGTGGACCAGGCTTCGCAAGGGAGTCAGTCTACGGGATCGTATAAATACACAATTGCATAGGTGTTGTGCTAAAAACGAGAACCGCCAAAATACATACCGGCCGGGATGTGTGCTCGTCATCGGAGTGATATTGGCGGAGTGCGCCATCTCGTGCGCCAAGGAACTGAGTGAGCTGGCCCTAGAATGGCAGCTCGATGAAGGGACGTCGTAAGAACTCGCAGAGGCCGACTGATCCACGTCAGATTCGCTGTAGTATGTAGGCTTCGTGTGTGTGGCAGGAAACTTGGTGTCAAGAGCTAGAGGAAGAGAATAACCGCCCGCATCCCATGGCGTGCGGTTCCGCGGTGCTCGGGGGTCGCTTGTCCGCCTGGAAGAAGCTATCTTCTCCGGGGACGATGAGGTGTTTTGTCTTTGAAAAATTGGTACGGAGATGGTTTCAAGTGAATTATCCCGAATAATGGGCTTTTTTCCCGCCGCTACGTTCAGTAGTGATGTCACGTCCATCGCTCAAGCGCGGACAACGTGGGAGAAGTTTTGTCGCCGAAACGAATCCAGTTTGACGGTCCCTCGGGGCGATATCGTCAAATATATATCCCTGGCTACGCCGTCTTGCCCATCTGCCGTGTATCGTGATATTTAATTCGTCGTCGATGAATAGTGACCTTGTAATCCTCAGTCCAGATATCGAGAAGCCTGTCTCTTGTTGTTGATGATAGCTGTTGAAGAAGATGATGTCCGATCTCTAGGATCCAGTCCGATACATCGGATACTCGTCGTCTGTTAAACCCAGGTTGCGAAGGTCGCACAACTAGGGGGACAGGTAGGTAAGGTGACAGTGATGGGAGGAAGCGTAAAGAAGCGATAAGGTTGATGGGAGATCCCAAAGCTTTTGTGTGTGGCGCCCGGGAGGCGGGGAGGCAACGAGGGAAGGGGAAGGGGTAGTACAGGAGGCGATGACAAGTTAAGAAGCAAACGATAAGAATATCAGACCTATCGTTGGGATCGCCGTTTCAGAGTCGCACTGACAGTTCCAAAAGCGGATTGAAACAGCCGAAACACCTTCAAGTCACCCAGTGGTGTACTTGAAGGGTCGTCCAAAAGGGTTTTAACACCTCTTAGCTTGAACACGCCCTGGCAGTTCGCAGATGTCGGATCGACGTCGAACCGAGAGAAACAGAGCAGTGGAAACAGTGCCTTCTCCGTAGCTGAGTTCCCAAGGCTGTACAATCAAGGGGTTGACGGGTGGCAGTGTCGAAAGAGGGAGACGTCGTGCAGGCGCGCGAGAGTGGCTTGCCGAACGCTGGTGTGGTTTTCTTGACTCCTGGTACTCTACGTGCTGGGCTCTTTCCTAACGTCGTGCTTTCTTGCTTCGATAGGTGCGAAAAGAAAATTCCAGGCCGAAGGTGAAGCCGACTTTCGTTTCCTCGATGGGGGGGGACTGCTTGTCAACAACGGCGAGAGGCTCGGCGAAGTTTTTCAAAGTTTCGTTTCGGGAGCGCAGGTACTATCATGCCATGGATGAGGCACAAGGCAACCTCAACATAAACCCAATTGTGACAGATTCTGGCAGGCTTTAGACAGATGCGGGTGATGATGAAATGAGAAGAGGAAGCTCAAGGCCAGCGTTCGAAAAGACCAAGAAGAAGAAACAAAAGATAGGACGACTGGTCAGCGAGAGACGGGGACGAGCCCGGGGGTCAGGGACACAAGTGAAGTAGGGCTGTGCTGAGAACGCATGAAGGGACGGTAGGGGTTGAAGACGGTAGCTGTTTAGAAATCCGGGCGGAGGGTGTAGAGACGGTCACAACAGAAGCAGTAGCAGCAGCTTCGAATGTCATGACTAGGACCAATACGCTTGAGATGGGGACATGGAAGAAGAAGACGACGACGAAGACGACGACGGATGGCTGACCCGAACCCCAGGTGCTGTCTGTCAGGTCAGGGCCCCCAAGTCCAACAACCACGACCGACGACTAGGCTAGGGGCAAGGCCCGAAAGCCGCGAGCAAGCATCAGAGGAAAAAGACGGGGACAGAGAGGAGGCTCGCAACGGGAGCCAGCATGATCACTGTGCAAGAGAAGAGTGGGAGAGCTAGTGAATCTGATCAGAGTTTCCACTTGCGGCAATGCAAGGATGCTGGGCATTATGCGTCGAAGGGAAGGGATGTCGTCGTTGTTTAGACTTCCCCACAGTAGGTTTGGGCGCGCCTGTGGGAAGAAAAGCCCCCGACTGGCCGCTGGTCTCGACGAGGGTCCATGTCCACTTCCAGGGACAGGGGGGCCATCGTCTTGGGCTGAGGTGATTTGTGTAACTGGCTTGAGAAGCGGCAGCTTTTTCACATTTGCTGCTCGGGGCTCTGTTATGCTATGCTGTGCTAGTGCGGGTGCACTGCCTGCAGCTTGTCCGTTGTCAGGCCCCATCATCCTACTATCATCCTGCTACCGCAAAGGGCACAGGTAAGAACGGCCTTCAGCGGTGGTTTGCGTGCTTTTTTTTTTTTTTTTTTTGAGGGGGGGAAATGGTTGCCGTAGGAGCTTGGCGTGCTGGTTGTTGCCGGTGACTAGGGCGACTCCCCTTGGCCGCCTTGTGCTTGTTGCTTGTGCATCAGATTAGACCGTAGTAGATCATGGCGTCAGATGCTCCGTCTGAACCATGATCTCCGCAGGGAAACGCTGGGGCAGGGCTTAGATTTCCAAATAGTTGACCCGACTGGTATAATGAATGTGATATAGGCATGGCAGAGCGGACGGGATCTATCTCAAGTTCGTCGTTCCATTGGCAGACTTCCAGGTCGGCAGGGACGCCGTTAACAAGCGCAGTTGAGTGATGGTCTCCTTGCCTGTCTTCCTCCAGGTCGCTTTCTGGTGGATGTGCCGCGGCTGCTCGGTTGATGCAAATGGGAGGCCCTGAGGCGCAGATTACCCATCGATCTGCAAGCTGAGACCCAGGATTGGGCGTGAAACTTGTCAAGGAAGTGCTTCGTTTGAAGAGACTGGGATCCGTGATGGGGTGGACCGTGGATAGGGACAAGGGCTCAGGTAGGTATGCCATCTCTGACCGGATTGGTATCTGACCGCGGGCTAGAGGGGTGTGGCCGAATTCCCTGAGCACGCACCAGACCTCGGGCATGTGCAGGTGAAAGTTCAGTCGCTCGGAAGAAGCCGAAGCGAGTGCCGGGGCGCAATTGTTTTGCCCAAGTCGCTCGGTGGCCACGGCATGAAGCGTGTTTTGGCTGTCATCAACACCATTGATTGGTAAAGAGATGTATCGATAGGGTGACCATTGAGTGATACCGTCAAGACGGGTTGGATAGATGCAAGCGACCAGATGAGGCCAGCAGAAACCACATGGCTGGGCGCCTCAAAGGAGCCACGCACAGGGCGGCCGGGAGGGGCGAGAGGCGGTAGACGGTAGGCGGTAGACGGTAGACCCCGTCAACGGCCTAGTGCTTGCTTTGTTGCCATTGTGTTGTGTGCTTTGTGCATGTGTTGCGGTTGCAATATCCAACGGCGCTGCAGCCACGCGGTGCCTTGGTTGCTTGGGACAGAGAGAAGAGACCGACTCTAATCTGACGGAGATTCGGGGGCTGGGAGGTGGAGGAGTGGGAGGGAACGAGCCACGGGGCTGAGCTCGACTTTGCGGCAATCTGTTTGGCAAATGGCAACCCTTGGGCCTGTCTCAACTTCTCGACGGCCGCTAGTAGATGTGACACCAGCCCGAGCTTCCGCCGTAGAAAACGTCTCTGCTGTCTGTGACCTTCCATCCATCTCACTTCAGAACACGAGGTGGTGAGGTCCGTGTGCTTTGGTCGAATGCTCGAGCTCTGGAAATTCTTCACTTGCTCTTTTTTTTGCTCCTCGTCCTTCCTCTGAAGACATTCCGAGTGCCAGTCCGCTCTGCGCTGCTGACACTGCTGAGGCTTAGAACGTGGAGCCGGCTCATGACAACAGATAATGCATCTTAGCGCATCGCATCGGTGGATGAGGTGTACGAACTGGCGGGAGACGGACAACTCCCATTTGCTTCACCGTCCAATCCAGCACGAACCACAGGCACGTTGCTGCCCTGGACGGCCGCTTGTTGACTGCAGGTGATGGATGTCTGGTTCTCGTCACAGTTGCACATCGAGACGCATGTGCATATGCCTCGTTTTGCTAACGTCCAGGATCAGTACCCAAGAGAGAGAGCGCATTTGTCCAAAGGCCCTCTTTTAGCATCGCATGGGAGTCTTCATTATGAACATAGCCCTGAGTGGCTGTGATATCGTCGTCTTTTGGCAGCTCAAAGCCCCTTGGGACGACATCTCACCGTCGCGTGCTGCCAAACTGCCATTGGCCTTCGGACAGCAAGGATCATGGCCCCCCTGCGCCGACGTGGTGCAGCCAACTAGACGCTACGCAAGACGAGACGAAGCGATGGGTTATCCACCCACCTCACAGCATATGAAATGGCGTGAGAGCTTGCGAGAATCGTCAGCTCGTACATACCGACGACACTCTGACGATCGCCGGCCAGTGCAGTAGGATGCCGCACCGTTTCTGCAGACCATTCCGTCAAGTACAGTAGGCTACTGGGCAGGGCCAGGCGCGTCAGTCAGATAGTCAGGACTTGAGGTATCTGTATCCGTACGTGGCAGCATAGGAAAGATAGGGCGACATGATGGCGAAGCGGGTTGGAGCCGTCGTCAGCGCGATGCGGGCTGATGTGCTGCAGGGTATCGCATTGTGTGGCAGTCGCGAGGCCAGGTGCCGCATAGAGGTGTATAGTAGGACGGCGGCGACATGGGACAAGTTCGGCCATCTCGATACGTAGCCGGTGGACGATCCTCGGTGGGCATGCCGGGGGGGGGGGGGGGGGGGGGAGGGGGGGCCCTTCTGGTTGCCCCAAGGAGTCTCCCCCCCCGGTTTAGGGCGGGGCCGCTGCACGCCGGGGTGCGGCGGGGGGGGGGGGGGGGGGGGGGGGGGGGGGGGGGGGGGGGGGGGGGGGCGAATGTGCGCCTTGCGATTGGCCCATAGGAATCTGCCTCCACGTTTCAAGACGGGGCTGCTGCAAGCCGGGATATCGAGATGTGTCGAAGGGGTGACGGGCAGCATGGGATGGGATAGGGTAGCCCGGATGCTGGATGGCGTCGTATCGCAGCGGCAGTGATGGATCATGGTTGCGGTGACATGTAGTCAGCTTTCGAAGGAGGGATGAAGCGACGGGCGGGAGGGGGCCGCAAAGGGGGAGGCTCCGACACACTGCCAGAGACGGGCAGACATGGTTTTGGTCGATCCGGGATATGTCGAGAGAATCCAAAGGCGCTAGGTGGACTTGAAGGGTGCCTGGTGTATCATGGATGGATGGGAAGGGTGTGCGTCGTAAGTAGATGGTCTTGCTGCGTATCCACACAAAAGTACGGATACTCTGTAAGGCACGAATGTTCTAAGTATATGAGTTTAGGATGCCGGGGGAGGGGATGTGATCCAGGCCAAGGAGCCCAGGTCGAGGTCCGAGGTTGATGTCCCTGGGGCATCACAGGCATGTCCATGACCAGGACTCGGCTCAGATGCTGGGTCTAATCTAAGTTGTCGAGGGGGGGTTGCTGTTTGTTGCAATGGCCCATGTCCAGGTGGCGCCGTGGCTTGGCTGATGGGTCGAAGATTGAGTTGGGGGTCACAAGTGACAAAGGTGACTTGAAAAAGTGAAAGTATTGTAATCATTAATACGCAAGTGAGGTGTGGTGAGGTCAAGGCAAGTCGGCCTTGAAGGGTCGAACAGGGTGGCAGAGGCTACCGTACCTCTCCCGCAGCATTCCCGCGGCGGCCTGCCAGTCCACCTCAGCTCTTTCCTTCCTTCGAGGGCCAGTGGTGGGACGACAAGAGCCGTGGGACGTCTCTTTCCATGGACCGGCGCCCGCCGTCCGTCATCCGTCATCCGTCGTCTCCATGTGCACGTCGCAGCCGCTGGCATCCGCTTCAAGGAGGCACCCGTGGAGTTTGGTGCCTGAGAAAAGACCGTCCCTCTTTTTTTTTGGGACCTTCCACAACTGTGAAGGCTCACGAGGGTCACGAAACGAAGCTGAGCTGGACGAGGTTTCCCTTCCTGTCATGTTCCTTGGGCATTTCACAGCTACCTTCCAGTGCAATACCTAGTAGAGCAAGTCATAGGGGAAAGTATACAGGGGTTGCGACTTCACCAGTATTCGTACGTGTCTTCTGCATCCTGAGCAAGGTGGGACGGAGGAAGAAGCTCAGAATAACTCCCCCGGCAATACGGCATTTGCCACAGACTGTGAGTAATGTACTCTAGGAAAAGCCCATTGTGCATCACCGCAGTCTCGTCGTGGCATGAGAAGCCATATTGCAAAATCCCGTAGTGACTTACGGCAGCCGCAGTGGCGAGTGGCAACAGCCGGCATCTTCCTCAACCAAGGTGCCTTATACTGCACTTATACAGGGCATTTCCTTCTCTATAGAACCGGCCAGTATGTCATCTGTCCCATCTCTGACCATCCCATCAGCACATCGGTCGATTTGTTCCTTGCCTCCATCCACCTAGGTTCTAGGTAAGCACAGGACACAAGGGCACACTCTCACTTACTTTTCGCCATCCTACGACGTAGACAAGGCACACATGCCTTCCCGTTAGTCAAGCCCAGTCAAGCCCAGTCAGTCAGCCCAAAGGAGCTAGTGGGCACTATGCAGAGGAATCTCGACGAGAGGAAAATTACGGCAAGGTAGATGCAGGGAGTTGGACAACTGAGGACGGAGGGCGAAAGACCTGGATACATCTCCCGCCCCTCCTCCTCCTCCTCCTCCTCCTCCTCCTCCTCTTCCTTCCCTTCCATTCACAATGACAGAGCAGAGGTACGTACCCATCGACGCATCCAAAGAGTCGAGGGTGTGAAGGAGCAAGGTGTGGATTTCTGGGTTTGAATGTGGGTCCAGAGTCTCCACCCAAGAAGCTGCAGATGTTTCAGCTGATGTCCACTGCTCTTGTCATTGGAGACAGCAATGGAACGTTGGGCAAAAAGACTCAGGAACACCTTCAACGGTCACCCCAGCTCCCACCGACCTTTTCTGCCACCCCGGTCGCCGTCTAGACCGTGAAGGGTTGTCTCGGTTTGCCCAATCTCGTCCAACTTGCAGCGCGGATAACCTCAACTCCCGGCCACCGCACACGGGACGAAAGAACCGACATCTGCGAGGTCGCCGTGAGACTCGAGAGACGGCGGCCAAGATTCCACACGCCTCCAGCTACCTTTTCCACCCAGGACAAAACGGCCATGGCAACACGTCCCCAAAGGAAACAAGCTTGCGTCGGGGCATGGGCGCCAGAGCAATATCGGCGTGCGATGCGAGATTGTCGGAAGACCAGACGCTGGCTTGACACGCCGAAGCACCCGCAGATGCAGAGTCTCGAGCTTCTTTTTCGCTCCAGAGTACGCTTGACGGAAGACGGCTTGCTCCAGAAGTGTTTCTCCTCGTCCTGCTACCGTCTCTAATTCTGCCCGCTGCTGGCGAAACCATCTACTACTGCTGCAGCAGCCGACAAGTGTCATCGCATCGCCCGTCGTCACTCACCCATCATCATCTGGGGCGACCAATAGACCACAGTAGCCAACTATATGCTGACCGACCAAGATTTGGTCTCTTCCCATCAAGCGAGGCCTAGCCTTCCCGCCCATTTCGGTCTTCCTCCTCCTCCGAACTCTCTCACGCCCTCTGCCCAAGCTTGCTTCGCGCTTCGCTGAAGAAAGTCGGTGAGCACAGGCATCCATCGTACACGTTGTGAGATGCGCCGGATCGTGGCCAGTCCACCCACTAAAGACGATGGCTGCCACCCAGTGCCCTTCCACGGCCTCAAGTATGTTGTCTAGGTAGCAGCCAAGGTGCCTCAAGCTTGGCTTCCACGAACAAGATGGGTTGACTGAGAGGGATGCGACGCAAACTCGGCCCACGGAAGCTTGGGTCGACAAGGTCTAGCTCCAGGGCGTATCCGAAAACCAAGAGCACCAGCGCCGGCGCCATCTTCATCTTGTTTTCTGTCCTCACTCCTACGACTCAGAGAAAATTAAGCGCCTGCTCACCCGGCTGCCCTACGACGCTATCAGTCTCCGGACGACACGTCTTCATCTGAGAGGCTTGATGAGTGGATGATGTTCCTAGCCCTTCGCCTTCGACACCTTACCCTTTTGTCTCGGGCCCGAGGCCACTGGGCAAAGATACTCGGGGACGGACGAGACAACACTCAGCAGTCCCCAGTGCCCTCTCTGGCCGCCGGCAGACCAACCCGCCAAAGTCAGGTCAACGTCTCTGACAAGGACTGCTGCAGGGTGATATCCCTGCGCCGATCATCTCGAAGCGAAACCCTCACAAGCTTGCACCCTCGGACCCCGGTCTCGAGTGATTTACAATGGTTTCATCTCAGCTTTTATCTTCTGCACCAACGCCATTATGATACGAAGAAAAACTCGGGACCTGCTCCAGTGCCACTCGTCCGAGCCACTGCCACTTGTCGCTGTCATTTGCCAGCACGAGCTTCACACCATCTCCAGTCTTGTTCCCCCTTCCTCGCGGATCTTTCTGGTGGCCCCAAGAGTTCGAACGACGAGGGGACGAGGAGTATTCTTCAGCGGCCTGTTCCTTGCGACTACGACGCTGGAAGTGATGTGGACCGACGCCGTCCCAAATTTTGCTTATACTACTACGGCCATCTGCATCATTACACACACATTGCTAAGGCGGCACCTTGCTAATCCCCGTCGGCCCTCGAACCACAAAATATTCCGCGAGACCAACGTGACCCATATGCGCCAGTACGTGCGAGCGGTCGGCAGAGGCGTGTCAGGTGCCTGCAGTGGAAGGCCGCTAACGTTAAGGTTAACCAACCTTGGTCTGGTTGCACCTGGCCTTCTGCGTGCTCTTTACGCACTTGGCTCGCCACAATGCAAATGCCCTGATCGTTGGTCGCGGCCATGCGGTACCTTTCGAAGGCTTTGCAGCGTGTCTCAAAGCCATTGAGCACGCAAAAAGCGTTTAAAGGCATCAGATGCCAAATGTGGCTTATGGCCTGGCTAGGGCGGTATGCACGACACAACAAGTCAACTCATGTTTTTGCCCCGTTATTTGCCGTCCGCTCATCGAGAGCGACGACCATGGACCACCATGGTCGCAGATTAACGAGTCAGGCAGTCGTCTCTGATGTTGAGCCGAATGCTTGAGCAAGCGAACTCAATCTACCGGACCGCCATCGGTCGGCTCAGCCGCTATCTCATCCCCCACAAGATCCTCCAATTTCCATCCGCGCCTTGAGACAAACGCCGCTGCCGAATATAGAAAATTGAGAGCTTCTGTAGAAGGCCCGTGGGCAAGACACCTACCTATGTGGGCAACGTTGTTTGTTTCATTCTTTTTCGTATTCTGGAAGCCTAGGCTGCCCTCGCCAAGCCCTTTGAACAAATTGCGACCGCTTGAGACAAAAACATCATCAAATTTCCCTTTTGAGTCAGCCATTCGTTACGTCGTAGCGTTGCTTGTGCGTCTCACAGCAACTGTTTGAGAGGTAAGCCTGTCCATTTGACCATCAGACTTTCTTTTTTTTCCTTTCTTTTTTTCTACATTGCCATTGCCCCTTGCGTCAACCGACCGAGGGAAGGGAAACTTCAGACGTAGTGGACAGATGTAACTTCATCTTTCCCCGTCGGTCTTTCACAAGTTCCCCATCCGGCGTCAAGGTCTCACATGTGTCATCGTCTGATGTCGAAACCGAAAAGTTGGGAGTCGGGCCACAGAGACAAGAGAGGAAGAAGGAGGACACATCTGATCGCACGCCTATCTGTACCCCTCGACCTCTTTTCCTTTTCCTTACCTTCGCATCGGCGGCCCGAAGAGGCCAGGATCAGGGCACATTTCGGCGTGCTGTGTGAACTCTGAATCTGTCTGCTCTGGCGAAAAAGGACAGAAAATATGCCCTAATTGACCTGTGACAACCAAACTTTTCGAAGAGATGACGATGACGGGTTGGTCCGTGACGAAGATGGAGTGGTGAATCCGAATAAGAGACGACATGTGCAGTTTCTGGGCTCTGGCCCGGTCCATGGGACGCCGAGAGCTCCCCGAACAATCCAGTGGGTCCCGCAACCTTCCGGAAGTAAAGTCCCGGTTTGTGTCCAGCGAACGACAACACTGCTACCGCGGGCCGGCCACCCGTGGATTGTGCGGGTCGCGACATTCTCTTCAACGGAAGGGTTTTCCATCTACACTTTGAAAGATTACTTTGTTCTCGCCGGTGCCTATTCACAGCCATGGCGATTTTATTTGAGCTTTCCTTATTGGTCTGACCAGGTGTAATAGATAGGCTTAGCGCCTCACGTAAGATTGGAGAAATAGGAGAAGCAATAGGAGAAGCATTCACCGAGCAGGTGCCGTACAACGTGAAGACCGCGTCACCCCAGAGTGTGAATTTTTCCTTTTTCACAATGTACCTTGTAGACAGCTATACGCGAGCGACTTCCAATGCAACACGTTAATTTCTCTTTGTCATCTCGGGCTATGATTAGGCCATAATGTCCCTCGGAGAAGACCAAGGCCCAAACGAAGGCGCCGACTACCCCGGAGCGACAGCAGCAGCAGCAGCACCAACGGCTCGCAACGTGCCAAGGATGCCGGAGCCGACGCCGGGGAAGATGCGCCTCAACATTGTCATCCTCTTTATGGGCTCGCGCGGCGACCTCCAGCCCTCCCTCGCCGTCGCGAAGCTCCTGCAGCGGCGACACGGCCACCGGGTGCGCATCGCGAGCCACCCGCCGTACCGGAGCGTCGTCGAGGCCGAAGGCGTCGGTTTTTACAGCATTGGCGCGACGGACATCAAGACCATGATGGAGAGACGGCTTCTGCCGCGCGGGGAGCTGCGTGCGCTGGTGCCGGTCGTCAGGGAGGAGTTTCGGGAGATGGGGGCGCGGTGGTGGGGGGCTTGTGTTGACGGGTACGGGTTTGCGCATGAAGACGGGGGCGCCGGGGGCGAGAGGGGCGCGTTTGTGGCGGATTTGGTCCTTTCTATGATGCATGTGTTCAACCAGACGTCTGCGGCGGCGAGGTTGGGTGTGCCGTTGCATCTGTTTGGGATGAATCCGAGAATCTTTTCAAAGGAGGTGCCGCATTCGCAGGCGGGTTGGGCTTTGAGGGCGCCGAGTAGGGCGAAGAATGTCTTGTCTTGGTGGGTTCAGGATTTTATGTGAGTCTTTGTTTTGCTTCGGTTCTTATTTCTTTTTTTACCATCTTGTTCTACACAATCTGTCTTTCCCCCTCCTTCGGTTGACGTCTTGTCCCCGTAATCAGAGGAACGATGGGGGGGCGCGTAGTCGTAGCTCCCAGGAAGGGGACCCTCGGGCGATGTTGGACTGACCATCGGCAACAGGTTCCTAGAAGCGATCAAGCCCGTCATCAACGACGTCCGCGTCAACGTCATGGGCCTGGAGAGCATGTCGCCCGCTTGGTGGCTGAGCCAGTACAACAGGATGAAGGTCCCCTGCACGTACCTCTGGTCGCCGAGGCTGCTCCCGAAGCCGGCGGACTGGCCGGACAACGTCGACGTCGCGGGCTTCGTCTTTGACGACGTGCCCGGCGGGTATACACCGCCTCCGGAGTTGGTGGCGTTCCTGGAGGCGGACCCGGAGACGCCGCCGGTGTATATCGGGTTCGGGAGCATGTCGTTTGCCAACGCGCAGGATGTGTTTGAGGGGGTGATTTTCGAGGCGGTGAGGAGGGTTGGTGTTAGGGCTGTTGTTGGGAAGGGGTGGTCTAATTTAGTCAAGGAAGAGGTTGGACGGGTTGAGAGAGAGGGTGAGGGTCAGGCGGACGGGGTCGGTGGTGAGCGGGACATGTCGCACATCTTCATCGTCGACGAGGCGCCGCACGCGTGGCTCTTTCCCCGGGTCAGGGCCGTGGTATGTCACGGCGGGAGCGGGACCACGGCCATGGCGCTCCGGAGCGGTAGGCCCACGCTCGTGGTGCCCGTGGCCGGGGACCAGCCGTTCTGGGGCACGAGGGTTCACGCGGCGGGGTGCGGGCCCGAGGCGAGGTTTGGGCTGGCGGAGATGAACGGCGAGAGATTCGAGCACGGGTTGAGGGAGCTTCTGAAGCCCGAGTACGCGACTGCCGCGAAGAGGTTTGCGGCGGGGGTGGCGGGGGAGAGGCCTGGGGAGGAGGTTTGTGTTGAGCGGGTGCTTGAGACGGCGGGCGTTTATGAGAGGGAGGGGAGGTGTGCTGTGTACGATGGCCGGCCTGCTGTTTGGAGGTGGACGGGGGGTGGTGCTGGTGCTGGTGCTGGTGCTGGTGGAGGAGATGGAGGGGAGAGGTTGTCTGCTGTTGCGGCGCATGTTCTTGTCGAGAGCGGAAGGGTAAGGAGGGAGGACTTGAGGGCGTTGGATCTGGTCAAATGGCCTGATTTGGCGAGCCCCGGGGATCCGTTGACGGGGTTGGTTCTCGGGACGCAGCAGGCGTTTGGGAGCATCGCCGCGGATGGCAGGACGGGGAGATGGGGACGGCTGGGGCTTCATGTCTTGCGAGGTGAGTTTCCCAACTTTTTCTCCAGTGTTTCCCGTGATTGCTATTTCTTGTCACTTATGTGAATGGGTGGGGGTTTTCGACTGACAACTAGTATCTAAAGCTCCCCTTACGATCCTAGCCGCCGTGGCGTTTGGCCTCTTCAACCTACTCGACTTTATCCTCTACGAGCTCGCCTCGCCTTTCGAGCCGAAGCTCTACGCGAGTAACCCGCGGCTGTACACGTATCCGCGGATGCTCCTCTTCCTCGTATCCGCGCCCTTTGTCGAGCTCGCTTCGATCGTGACGCAGCCGGCGCGCCTCGTGGCTAAGAGGAGGAAGTGGGGGAAGGGATCCTTGCTGCGGGTGGTCCTCGAGGTACCGCTCGCGATTTTGAGGGTGCTTTTGGCTTTGGTTAATATTCTGGTTGGTGGGCTGGGTTTCACGCTTCGGCGGCTCGAGGTTTCTTGTGCGAGGGGCATGGGGGAGAGGCCTGTAGGGGATGTTGTCGCTGAGGCGAGGGTTAGGCAGGGGAGAGTTGAGGCGGAGGGGTTGAGGGTTGAGGGAGTCGAGGTTGGTAGGGATTTGGTGGGGGATATTGTGAGGAGGTGGGATGAGCGGAAGAAGGGCTGAGTGGTTCTATCCTTTCTTCTCTACTACTACTAATACTACTACTACTACTACTACTACTGTCAATTATATGGCCTGAATTCTACTTGAGCGAATAGTGCCATGGGCTAGCAGAACAGTCGCGACCTTGTCTTAAGACCAGAGTTGAACACCAGCGGCGAAGCGTTCTATCGCGTGGCGGCCGTGAGTTACTCTCCCATTCTTGGTGGATACTTCCAGCCCATTCGCTTACATTGCAGCCCTCCTTTTTCGTCAAGCGAGAGGTGAGTGAGAGGGAGAGGGGGGTGGTTGGATACGGATATTCTCCGATACATTTCAACTTCGTGATACGGGACTTGCACATGCCGTCCTGCGGGAAGCCGGCGCCCCGGGCCACGTCAACTTCTTGTGTCGCAATCATGGGACGAGGCGAGGTAAGGTTGGTAGGATGGCTGCGTGCCGCGTACGAGTTCGGGATATTCTCGCCCTTGGCCATGCGGGCGGCTTGCGGCGTGCGGTGGTGTGACGCGATCGGCGTGGGTATCGGGTTTGATATGGGGAGCGTTGGATCGCATGTGTAGGTGGGCTTCTTTTGCCGTTGGGATATTTCACGGGGTTAGCTTGGTAGTTGTTTCCTGGCCAGCTTGGTATTCTCCGGCGGTAAGTCGCTCATGTAAGATTGGTCCCTCGCGGTGAGAATAGCACCTACGTACGCAAGAGGTTTCAACCAAGGTTGACGCTGCGTGCGAAGGCTTGTCTCTTTTATTTTCTTCCCAAGAGGTTGGCGACGGAATTCCAGGAATACCTGTGTGGCCTTGGGGGTGGTTAAAATTGCAGTGAAAGACACAAGCCCCCATTTCCCCCCCATCCCTCGGGCAGCAAAGGTGTTTTGTGAGACTTGAGCTGGCCAATTGGACAGCCTGCCAATTGTGAGTGGCTACTTTTCAAACGAAATCGTCCGCGGAATTTTTGGGTGAAGAAGCTCCTCTATGTTATTGTTCTTGAGTGTCTCTCTTTCTCTCTTGCAAAAACATAAACAGAACCCAAGGGGACTCGGTATAGATGAGTTGAAAGAAGAGGGGCCTGTACTTACAATCACATTCATTTGCAGTCAACGTTGTTTCAGATCCCCTATACACAGTTGACTAAAACTTTCAAGTGAAATTGAACTGCTCTTAAAGAAGGTCATTACAAAATTTACGAACAATGGGGACCATAGCTACATGGCTGAAATTCTTGAGGCCTCGTTCGCGACCTCGGGTCCGGTCACAGTAATCTTCTTGGATTCCAATCTACGCCCCCGTCAGATAGTATGAGAAATTGTAAGTCTTGTGAAAATTCGCACAATCTATATGGTACTCATCACAGCTTCGGCCTTGAGAAAGTTGTATCCATGCTTTTCATGGTTATACAATCATGTCTTCGACTTCCCGAAGACTCTAAGCCCAATTGACCAAAATATTCTGTTCCTTGGCCTTGATTATTAAGTCAATCACAATGATCAGTTTCTTACAGTAGTTCTGCTCCGTACAATAATACATCATGACAAGGGCTCAAAAATTGTGGCGTCGCGGCCGTTGAGGTGACCGCATAAAGGGGCTATGCATGTAGCAGATATTTGAAATAGTTCCCACCACGTTCGGCCATGACCGCTGCAGTGCTTAATGCGACTCCATACGCTCCACGCGACCATCAACCGAGTTCCGTCAGCTTACGCCTTCACCTAGAGCCGATAGTACATATCTAAACCGCTTGAACATAAACCATCGGTAGAGAGAAGACTTACGCGATGACCGCGCCTCTTCTCGCCTCTGAATTTCCAAGACGAAGACGCGGTCCATTTGGCTGACCCCATGACGCAACCACCGCCATCAGTCAGTCCTCCCATCCTATCGCCGCTCGGCTCGTCGACCGCTGACCCTCCACTCTGCAGACCCCTACACCTCGTCGATTCCTGTTGTCCAAAAGAACTCCGGCGTCGCAGCAGCAGACACCGGGCAGTGGTCCACCCGTCTTCGCTGGCAGTCAGCGCTTCCAGCCAACGCCCCGGTTCGCCCCTCCTTCGTCGACTCAGCGGCCTCCCCCGACGCCCGTGTTCCCCGGTTCACTCCGACCGTCGAGACACAGAAACCCGATTCATGATGCTCTAGATAGCTCGCCCACTGATGCGCCCGCCTCGGCGACGCGGCCGACGCTAGGCGCTGGGACGCAGAGGCAGAATCACAGGATCGATATCGACTCTGACGGTAGCGATTCGCCGCCAGAGGAGGATCAGGATGAACTTCCACCGATGGTTGTCGCGGTGAATGATTCAATCGAGATTGAGTCGGAGCCGCCTAGTGTTCTGCACAGCGGAATTGAGGAGCGGACACCGAAAAGGAGAAGAATTTCAGTCTCGCCAGCATTGAGCTGGCAGGAGGAGCTCCAGGAAGATGTCACGATGGGATATTTAGAAGAAGAAGAGCCCCTGCCACAGAAAAGCGAATCGGGTAATGAGCAGCTGCCAGATGCCGATGAGGACCTTCCACTCGGCATGAATCCTGGTCAGACGGACGACGACTTGACGATCCCCCCTCGCACTGCAGGAGACCCAGCAAAGACCCAGCCCACATTTCATCGCGCCCCCCGTTTCAAGGTGTCCGAGGCGGACGCAGTCCGGCAAGAGGGCCTACCTGAAGCCTTCTCGCCACAGCGACGTGGCGCGAAATATGTCGCCGGGGGGCTCGCGGCTGAGCTGCAGACCTGGTTGGCGGAGGTCAAGGGCTGGACGGGTGGTAATCGTCCGGCGGACCTGGTCATGAGCATTGCCGTTGACGAAGTTCGTCATGGGAACAGGATGTGTCTCGTTCGGGGACGGAGAATCGTAGCGGACGGGGCTGCGAGGGAGGAGATTGCGGCACGGCTTATGCTGGCTGGGGAGGGGCAGTTGACGGGGCTGGGCCAGAAGAGTCCTGTCGCAGTGGGTGGTGTCGTTGCCATCTCGCAGCCTGCGTGGGAAATTGAGCTGCAGGACGGTAGATGGATTGTTGCGTGTGACTGGGCGGTCTCGTAGGAGACTAGGTCAATATATGCACACATGCCAACATTATTAACTCATTGCGATCTTTCGAATCGACTTTGGTGATTTTACATTTGCATTACGTGGGGGTAAGATGAAAGGTGGAAATGGTCGAAGTTGGCTAGGAAGAAGCTGCGATTCCACGAGTTTGCAGCCATAATGACTCCTGTCCTGTTGGCGCATTGGTTTTCTTTTACCGTCTGTATCAGTATCAGTCTCTTGACCGAACATCATTAGCCTGAGACTGCCGAGTACTGGAACTTGTCCTCGTCCGGTATTTTGTCATGCGTATGTACCTCGGCACTTTATGAAGTGTCTCTGGTAAGCACCACTTGATGCATAACGCGCTCAAATACATATGCGCCATCTATACAGGTAGGAAACCGTATACTCATTCGTCAGACCAATTCCAAGCCCCAGTTTTACTCATCATATCCCGTCGGTAAGGTAGACACTGCGAGCCCTTGCAGCGAAATAAAAAAAAAAAAAACATGCGCCGATTTCATCGAGAAAGGTGCCAACGTAATTGACTGTCATTGCGCAAAGTGCGATGCCTCACAGATAAACAGAAGAAGTTCTCGACACAATGACGTGGCTGGTCCTCCGACCAGCCGCCTTTGCGCGGGTGCCGGCCGCAACGACTTGCCGGCCGGGCCCACGATTCTACTCCGCGGCAACCACTGGCGCCGGCCTCTCGGACCCGCTCCGGATCCTCTTCTGCGGTTCAGACGACTTCAGCTGCGCTGCGCTGAGCGCGCTTCATGCGGAGAAGAAACGGAATCCGGCACTGATTGAGTCGCTTGATGTCGTCGTTCGGCCCGGCAAGCTGTCAGGGAGAGGGATGAAGAGTGTTCGTGAGGGTATGTATGTTTGTGTGCGGTCTCGACTTTCACGGAGTTGGTGGGAGTGAGTGATTCTGAGCTGACGACACATGTCAGTTCCGTTGAAGAACCTCGCTGAGCAGCTCAGGTTGCCAATTTACGTGAGGGACACGTTTACTGGGTGGCAGGTATTGCAAGTCCTTGTCCTGTCAACCCAAGTTTCAACGTGCTGATATCCGCAGCCGCGTAACAACATCAATCTCATCATTGCCGTCTCCTTCGGTCTCTTTGTACCACCGAGGTTACTCAAGATGGCAAAGTACGGAGGGCTCAACGTTCACCCATCACTCCTCCCAGAGTAAGCTCATTCATGCCCCCACCCCTGCATCGTACCTACCTCACCCAGCCTCTTAACACCTCACCCAGCTTCCGCGGTCCTGCGCCCCTCCAACACACGCTCCTAAAAGGCCGCACGCATACAGGCATCACGCTCCAGACGCTCGACCATGAAAAATTCGATCACGGTGCTATTCTCGCTCAGTCACCGCTCCCCGGCATCCCGATCCCTGAAAAATGCAGCACGCAGCAGCTACTCGACATCGTCACGCCGCCAGCCGCCGATATGCTCGTCGACGGTCTACGGAGGGGCCTATACGTCCCTCCACACGCGGACGCCGGCTGGAAACCCTCCATCTGGAACTTCCTCAGCACGCCTCCGCATGCGCCCAAGGTCACGAACCACGACCGCCAGATTCCTTGGTTCGAGTGGACCGCCGACCATATTGTGACGCGCCAGCGCGTTCTGGGCAACATCTGGTGCTCGGCGGTGAACAATACCCTGCAGAAAGAACAGAGGATCAAGTTTGGACGAGTAGAAGCGGTTGACGACGTGCATGACCACATTAAGCAGTTCACCAGACGACTCAAGTTGTATCAAAAGAATCGAATGTCTGATGACGAGGTACTGGAGGAGGACAGAAAGGTTAAAGTCGTCTTTTGGATTCAGAAGCCGGAACACGATGCCGACGCTGAAGAGGGAAAGTGGCGCGTGGCCAGGCTCCCCTACTTTGATCACGAGGACGGGAAGAGCATAGTGATCCCCGTTTTCAAGGGGGACAAGTTACTAAAGGTGTCGACCTTGATTGTTGAGGGCGCCAAGGAGCGCCCTGCCGCGAGCGCGATTAAGTCCTTTGGCACGGTTACAGATGCGTACGATTTCGGCTCTAGAAGGCCCTCTAGCATACCCATTATTATTCCCTTTTAAATATAATATTGGAGGTGTACGATAGGAAAAGACACTGATGAAATTGATCATCTATGATTGGTGTCCAATTGTAATATATTCATGGTCTTCCAAGACAAGATTCCTCTTTCGGGAGCGTTGACGAGGAGCGAGATTTGGTCATTGTCGCAAAAGAGATGCCAACCGAGACCTGTGATGAAGAAACCCGGAAACCTGACTTGAGCGATTATTCCAGCCAAATGTCCCTGGAGTCATGCTCGCCCGACGATGAGGAGTGGTCGGTGAGCGACACACCAAATTTTACCTTTTTCGACTCAAGGCTTCAAAGAATGCCAAAGACTTCGCAAGGCTACCAATACTACGAACCCCCAAAGGAACAAACTTCTGACTCGCGGGAGTTGATGGGTTTCTAAGCGCTCACAGCGCGGACCCAAGCTTAAATTCTGGCGATGATGGAGCCGTGGTCATAGCCAACAGAAGGCAATGTGTTCTTGCTTCGAGGTTACGCTTGGCGACGACGCTCGTATCGAGAGCTTTGGGCCCAATTGCTTTTGGGCGAACAAATTTCAAGTCTTCTGGAACCAAAGAAATCTCTGAAAGAGGTTGGCAGAATCCTCGCGCTGATTTATCAGAGGGAACGGACTCACGGCATGAACGCTGACAGGCAGACTCGCCACAAGGCTGCTCTCAACAGAGATGGAACAGCGTACCATGGTGTGGTAGCCATGACTGACAACCGCGCAACCGTCACCAGAATGGCCCAATTGTTTCTCGAGATGTGGCTCTACGAACTGGGACAGAGGGTTACGGCTCCGCCCTCTATAACACGATGGTACAAGTAGCAGAGGGCCGGTCTCAAGACGGAAACGTCTACCACTATAGTGGTGTAGCTGTTTTTCATCAACCATCGATGGGATGCCGCCGAGATGGTAAACCTTTCTCGTGCGAGAGCATAAACTGCCCGTGCCCAACGTTGAAAGCTGTCTCGCGTGGCACATGTAAAGTTTGACTGATGCGAGGAAGGACATCCTTGGGTTTCATGCCCGGTATAGCTACGCCTATGGATACTTGAGGGTCGAGAAGTTCGTTCCCAGAGCGAAACGTCGCCAAGAGCACCAGCTTTGTCCCCAGCGGATCAACAGTTGTATGGCATTGCCTGTTATCCTGGCGATCACGCAGCTATCCGATGAAGAGACTGATCAGCTTCTCGACGAGTTAATCGAGCCCATGAATCATTTGAAAGAGCTTTGCCCCATCATCTCACCTTGGCATACTGGTTTTGAGGAAGAAGAATGAATAAAATGAATTAAATGGGTGAAGTCGAGGGTCCGATGGGTTCGTCGATCGATATCTCATACTCGACCTTGACACTGAAAAGTGTGGAGCATAGGGTGTTTAGGAATTATGTTGCAGAAACGGCTCACGACAAGTATGTTAATAAAACAAATATACAATAGACATACCCCTAGTAGGGTAAGGCCATTTTTTTATTATCGTAACTATTATCACGCTGCAGGTTCGTCTATTCCATATTGTGAGAAATTATATGAGAGATGACGCTTACTCTCCATTCACAACGAAGACGGAGAAGACGCCGTTGCCCACTTGCGAGGCAACGCATCCATGCCCGGTTGGGGCCTGCTCATGCTATTCAGCTGATGGAAATTGCAATTAGTGCGAGAAGCTGATTAGAACTGGACTTGTCAAGTTCCTTGCCCAAGGAATCTACATAAGATCAACAGAACAACTTGAAGACAGACAGCAGAGACCAAAAATGAGGCAGGCACATGAAAGAACAAGACAACGAAAGGGCAGACTACGATATTCGCGACGAAGGGACGGGCTCAGATATTGGAAGAGTCCTACGACTTTTTACTGGAGTATCACTGTAAGCTCTAAAAAAGTTCGAGAAGGTCTTCAATCCTAGGTAGTTGACCGTGGATATAGGATCGGGGGCTCCAGCAATGATCCGAGACTAGGCTGACCCATCCCCCGCTTCCAACTAAAACTAAGAGAGCCCAAGGGTACCGTGGCAGTAGGTTTCTGAAGGGGTGATTCATACTTGGTCACGTAGAGTGAAGATATTAAACGCATGAGACGTGACAGCAGCAGTCCAACTTGAGAGACATCGTCGCATAATGGTGGAAAATGTGTTTGATAGTCTGGCGTCGGCTGCTCGTTTGGCGTACAATACATCGTCTTGGCACAGCGGGTGAACTGGAAAGGCCTCGCAAATGTTCTGGGCAACAATGTGCAGCATGCGCATTGGGAGAGACATCTTTACAAAAGGCTCACGTCTGTTTTTGGGAAGGTTACGTTCCTTAGAACCGAAATGTGGTTGCAGAACCTGGGCGGCTTTCTCACATTGAGTTGGACATCGTACGAGGATGCAAGGCTTCAGCATGCAAGGTGTAAATGTATGGAAATGTTTCTCTGTTTGATAGTTCTTTACTTCATCTATACCATTAAAAAAATCTCATCTAACTGTACCACGTCTGTCCGGGCTTCAAGCTATTCAGAATCCGACAGCGGGTAGTGATGCACAGTTTCTCGCGATCAAGCCGCTTGAACTTGGGGCCCAGCGGCCCGGAGACGTAGTGATACTGCGCAAACAAGCGCCACTGGCGCATATCGGCCAGACTATAGAGTTTATCGCCCCAAGGGCCGGCGTAATGGAACCAAGACGTCGGCGCGTCGGGGTTCTCGGCCGTGGGGACCAGGCTGATGGGGTTTTCCTTGCGGTGACCGCTAGCCACGTCGACCTCGTCATCGAGGTCGTCGTCGAGGTCTTCATCCAGGTCCTCGACGTAATCATACCAATATGTGTAGGCGTTCTTGGACGGATCCCAGAGGGGTCCTTTGTCGGTCACGTCCTTGAGCATCTTGAAGGGCAGCACGTACGGGTGCTCGCCGGCCTGCGCGTACATGGCATGGGAGCCGACGGCGGAGTAGATGACGGGACGCTCGCCCCGCTTCTCGACGGCGTTGTACGTGTAAGCCTGGCCGCCCTCGTGTTCCGAGAAGAAGATGCCACGGGGCACGCCGTTCTCGAAGCGCATCATGCAGTGCTCCCAATCGCCGACGTGGTTGCCGAAGCGAATGGTCAGGACCGTCTGGCCGAGGTTGTACGAGTAGAAGAAGAACCAGAAGGCGTCCACGATGCCGGAACCCTTGTCGACGAGAACAAGGATGGCCGGCGCCTTTGAATAGCCTTCCTGATCGGGCTTGTGGGTCGGCGTGTCGGGAATGGGCTTTTGGTCCTCGTCTCGGCGGCGGAGGTGGAAGCCGGCGGCGCGGGCGGATCCTTCTGGGAATTGTGGGTAGCGACGAGGGTCCGAGATGCGGTGAACGGGGTGATCGCGAGATACGTCGAACCACGTCGTATCCTCAGTGTCATGTCGTGGGTGTTCAGAGTCGCCATCCGGGTCATCGGGCTTTTCGTCCTTGTCGCCGTCGTCCTCGTCCTCATTCCAAGGCTCAGGAATGCCAACATGGCTGTGCAGCCATTCGGGTCTCTGCTCCACATCGTCATCGCTGGTCAGATAGACCATGCCATCCTCCTTGTTGAGCGTATGCATATCCGACAAAATCAGGGAACGGTTCAGAGCCTCCTTCTCCAAGTAGGGCGTCATGTGCCGAATGTGTTCCGCAATGTCGGCAGGCCAGAAGTTCTCGCCCGAGTAGAGGTGGACCAGCGGCGCATACTGGAGAACATAGTCAGGAATCTCCTTCAAGACTTTCCTCCTCTCCTCCTTGTCGTCCCGTGGTGAGCGCTTCTTGGGAGCCGTCTCCCAGCCGGAATGGCGTCCATCCAGAGACCTGAGCTCCAACCGCAGATCGCCGGCGTCGGAGTCGTTCGTGTACGGAAAGAGGGACGCCGGGTCCCATGAAAGGTGGTGAACGCCACAGAGACTCAACCAACGACAAGCCTGACGATCGAGCCAATACGGACTGCTGCTAACCCATTTCTTGTCCTCGCGCTGCTTGGCCGGATCTGGCGGGTTTGGGTTAAGGTAGCGGGGCAGGAACCATGCTAGGAATGACACCGACACCAGGAAGGCGAGTAAGATGGTGAAGCGGCGTAGATAATACATCGAACAAGTTCGTGGTGGCTCCAGGCCTCGCAGGATAGGATTTGGTTGTTGAGAATAATAGGAGACTAAAGGAGTGCGGAATAGGCGCTGGTTCGATTGGTAATATGCTATTGGTAGCTACGGACGCTGAGTGATGGTTCGCGGGGGTTCGGGATGCCGGCACGTCTTGCGAAAGCCAGCGGGGTCTCGCACAGCATCACCAAGTAAGTGTACATGTAGATGTAGTGTATTACTGAACGGTTGAAGGTGGGAGGTGCGAGCGGATATGCATCGCCGGCCAGACGCTGAGGCCCCTTGGTCAAGTGTTTTGTGTCGTTGGTCGGGGAAAGTTTGTTAGAAGTGCGAAGGGAAGAGTTGGAAAGTAGTGTACGAGTGGGAAGGAAGCTTTGGGTTGGGGTTTGGGACGGAACTTAGCGGTTTGCGCGGGCGACAGACGGCGACAGCGGAAGCAGGGAAGCAGGGAAGTAAGGGCGTCAGGGACGTACTGGATTCGGCCTGGACCTGGACGTGGGAGGATGGCAGACGGGAGGGGATTGGAGGGGGGTGCGGATGGATGTCCCACTAGTGTAAGGATACTGGCCGCAGTGTCTCTGATGCAGCCCTCCACAGTGAGGCAGGTATCTCTCCTCCACGCCCGGCAACAGAGAATGGCACCAAGGTTCCAGGAACCTCATGCAGCCAGCAGACCGGGAGGGTTCAACGATCGGCGGGACCAACCAGATCCCTGCAGATTCCCACGAGGAGGACGGATAAAGCTCCCAGTTCCGCGCGCTGCTGACTCTCTCCCCCCACCGTCCTACCTTGCATTGTTGTCTGTCGCTGAGTGACTTCGGCAAGTAGCCGATCCCTGTGGCCATCACGAGTCGCTTTATCTTTCAGTAAAGTTGCTCCCATGTGAGCTGGCATTGGGCGGGTGGGCTTCTTGGGTGACGGGCCGGGATGATCTTGCAAACACAGGGCTTACTACTAACCGTCTGCCGAAACCCGCAAACCATTATGTAAGTACTGTGAACACTCCATTCTGAGGCTTTTTTTCTACTGTCTACCATGTTAGCATTTTCTTCTAGAATGTATTCCCAATTATGTTTCCGATATCCCGCGGACTGTTGGTATCCGTAGCGGCCAACGGTTTTCGGCCAATCTACTTCTCACAAGGCGGACACTTTTGCCAGAGTTCGTCAAACAGTGATGGTGTCGCACGACCTTTTGGATGAGCATAGTTCATTAGCTCTAGGTTCAGCCGTCGGGGGGACTATGCTATGCAGTCGAGGCCAAATTCTGGCACCCTCGACTTTGTCCACCAACTGTCGTGATATCGTCAGCCTGACCACACCATGCCTCCATGCATACCCCTCCAAATTCTCCTATGCCAACCCAGGAGGGCCCGGCCGGCACTGGAGGGGGCCCTTAGGCCTTGGAACCGCGGCCATTCAGTTTCACCGTCCCATCCGAAGCTTCGCCCTATTCGGAAACCATGCTTTTCATGGACCCAAATGGCCCACGCAGAGAGTGAAAATGGATTGCGACATATAAATCGCGACCGGGAAGTTTGTATATTCCGATCAGATGCGATATCGTATCCCCAGATTGGAGGCTGCGTTCCTGAGATTGCCTACTCCAAATCTCCACCATCCTCATAGTCTTCGTCGTCGTTGTCGCTTGCTTCATCATCATCTTTCGGGCCCGAACCTTTGCCTGCTCCTCCGCCCTGCCCATCTAGGTTCGCCCATGTCGTCGGCGTTGGCGTTGACAACGCTCCATCCCGCGAAGCCGCTGCCTCTGCTACGCTGCTATCTTGTCGCTCATTTTGCTCAGGAACCATCCCCAATGCGGATGGACCGCCTCTCCCGCGGACGCCGCCTCCCCGACCCCGACGTTTCTTCGGCATCCCATCCGGCAGCGGCTTACGCCTTTTCCTCCGGCTGTTCGTGCCCTCTGTCATCGGCTTTGGCGCGGCATGGGCGTACACCGTGACCTCGTCCTTTTCGCCTCTCTTGACCTTCAAGGCCATCAAGTTCTCCAAAAACCTTGTTTGACGCTTGCGCTCGCCCGTCTTGTCTGCTGTGATGGGTATATGAATTCCATGCTGCCTCCTAATGTCCTCCAGCGGGTCGTCTTTTGCTGCCGCCTCGTGTTTTGGTTCTAAACGCTTCTCTGTCGTGTTGATCCTCGACCAGCTGGCCGCGAGCATGTCGACACCGCCGGGGAGATGTCGCAGAGCCGGAATCGGATCCTCGTGCTCGTGCTCGGCAAATATGACTTCGGTGCCCAGGTTTCGCGACCACTGCCCCTCGAAAATCTTGCCCTTGTACGCGAACATGGGCTTGTTGGAATGCAGGTCCAAGATTTGGATCTCGGGAGCTTGCTCGGATTCAAAGTCGGCGTCATAGCCATCAATGTTTGGGTCCGCCTGTCCCTGATCCATCTCTTCTTCGTCTTCGGGCTCGGCCGCGGGCTCGTCATCATTCTCGTCGTCTGACATAATGCGGTGGTGTTTTGGCTCGTCGGGTTTCCTGTGAGGGCCTGCCCAGTGTTTGTAGTGATATCCGCCTCGTCCTGATACTGGCATGTTTCGTTTGCGCCGTAGCAGTTGTGGGATGGAGAGGTCGACAGTCAGGTAGTAGGTCTGCGATGCTTAGCACTTGCATCTCCACATTCACCTGGATGCGACGGCTTACTTCGGTCTCCGTGGTCGAATACTCATACTCCCACTCCGAGTCATCGCCGCCGTCAATCTTACTGGGTGCTTTCGGTGGTTGCTCAGCGGGCGCGGTCGCCGCCATCACCGGCGCGACCGAAGAGGTCGGCGCGTTTGTCGCCATGTTTTCGTGACGATTCGTAGTAGGGGTCTCCAATTGTCTGACGAAATTCGTGTATTGGGGCCGATATTCCGTGCATGTATTCGGTATTGTCGCCACGCGCAAGCATTCAAAATGCGTCAGGGAGCGTTATGATGGAGTTGCAGGGCCATCGCGGGAGAAGTATGCGATGTCGAAAAGTTGACGAAGCTTCAAATTCCAAGACGCAAAATTCCCATTCCAGGGAATGAAGCTCCCCCAGTCAATTCGACAGCAGATTAGCACAGGCCAGACGCCAATTGAACAGGGGCCGCTCATGCGGGGCACTGCTGCACTTTCCATGCTCACAACCCCTCTGCCCCGCTATCGCAAGTAAATTTCCCAGCGACGGCTTCGACTCACAGTCGGACCTGCACATCCCATCTGTTGACTCACAATTCGACGTTACCCTTGCGAGTGACGATACTTATAACGGCGCATTCCATTCGTTCTTGTCTTGATCTGATTCCTGTTCTGTAGATTTACAATATACCCAACCCATTACATACACTCCAACCCCCCCGTCTGCCCACCATGCCAAAGGTCCACCTGCTGGACTACGTCGCGGGCAATGTTCGCAGCTTGGTGAACGCCATCGAGAAGGTCGGCTACGAGGTCGAATGGATTAGGAGACCCGAAGATGTTCCCTCGGCAGAAGTAAGCCATTGGTCTTTGTGTACCATATGTACGATAAAGACGAGCCCTCAAATGCTAATCTACACTGCTCGCCCCCCATTCAGAAACTGATCCTCCCCGGTGTCGGCCACTTCGGCCACTGCCTCTCCCAACTCTCCCAAGCCGGCTTCCTCCCCGCCATCTCCGCCCATATCGCCTCAGGCAAGCCCTTCATGGGCATCTGCGTCGGTATCCAGGCCCTCTTCGAAGGCTCCCTCGAGGACCTGGAAGTCCCCGGCCTGGGCGTCGTAAAGGGCCGGCTCGACCGCTTCGACGCCTCCACAAAGTCCGTCCCGCAAATCGGCTGGAACAGCGCCAACACGGGCGGCGCGAGCCTCTACGACCTCCGGCCGGACTCGAAATACTACTACGTCCACACCTACAAGTACCCCTACGTCCGCGGCGAGCTCGAGGCCCAGGGCTGGACCGTCGCAACGGGTACCTACGGTGACGAGACCTTTGTCGGCGCCCTCGCCCGGGGTAACATCTTCGCAACGCAATTCCACCCCGAAAAGTCTGGCGCTGCGGGCCTGCGCTGTCTCCGCGCATTCCTTGACGGCTCCGGCGCCGCGGGTCTGGCCGCCAGTGCCGCCGCCGCACCACCCCCCGCCGAGACCACCGTCCCCTTCCAAGACGGCCTCACCCGCCGCGTAATCGCCTGCCTCGACGTCCGCACAAACGACCAGGGCGACCTCGTCGTGACAAAGGGCGACCAATACGACGTTCGCGAAAAGGGTGACGGCGGTAACGTCCGCAACCTCGGCAAGCCCGTCGAGATGGCGAGGCGGTACTACGAGCAGGGCGCCGACGAGGTCACTTTCCTCAACATCACCAGCTTCCGCGACTGCCCGCTGGCCGACGTACCCATGCTCGAGATCCTCCGCCGCACCTCCGAGACCGTCTTCGTGCCCCTCACCATCGGCGGCGGCATCCGCGACACGGTCGACACGGACGGCACCAAAGTCTCGGCCCTCGAGATCGCGACAATGTACTTCAAATCCGGCGCCGATAAAGTCTCTATCGGCTCCGACGCCGTGCTGGCCGCGGAAGAGTATTACGGCGCCGGCCGCAAGCTCTTTGGCAACACGGCCATTGAGCAAATCTCCAAGGCGTACGGCAACCAGGCCGTCGTCGTCTCCGTCGACCCCAAGCGCGTTTACGTCCCCAACACGGACGCCACGCGCCACAACATCCTCAAGACGGCCAACCCGGGTCCCAAGGGCGAGGAGTACTGCTGGTACGCCTGCACCATCAAGGGCGGCCGCGAGACGCGCGACATGGACGTCGTCGAGCTCTCGCAGGCCGTCGAGGCCATGGGCGCCGGCGAGATCCTCCTCAACTGCATCGACAAGGACGGCACCAACAGCGGCTTCGACCTCGAGCTCATTTCCCAAGTGAAAGCCGCCGTCAAGATCCCCGTCATCGCGTCCAGCGGCGCGGGCGAGCCGGCGCACTTTGAAGAGGTGTTTGCCAAGACGACGACGGACGCCGCGTTGGGGGCGGGCATGTTCCACCGCGGGGAGTACACTGTGAAGCAGGTCAAGGATTTCTTGGCGGAAAGGGGGCTCAAGGTGAGGCAGTTTGAGGAGAACGTGTAAAAAATGTCGCCGCCGGTTGGGGCTGTGATGGAAGTAAATACAGCGTTATGTCTTTATACGTTGGATCAAAAGGGGGCATGAGAGATGGCGATCAGCCATTTGAGAGGAGAGAGAAAAGAAAAGAGTATTTAAGAAGTTGAGCAAGCTTTTTTGACTGTGGTTTGTCATTTTACGGGGTAGCCTGGAGTTGTTTCTGTGGTTACGACCTGACGTCCACGCACGCCCCGATTACTAGACATACAAAGATAGAATCTTTCTCAACCTGTGATCCCATGCCATTTTTGTGCTTGTGTGCTGCGTGCCAATCTTTGCCAAACATCCAAAGTTCCCAACATTCAAGATTGAAAGAGAGAAGAGAGCCCCTATCCCCTGAAGCCAGAGAGAAAACAATCCCATGAAGCGAACCTAGAAAGAAACTACCCCATTGGCCGGCAGTGATGGACCTCATCAACTTCAGGGGTAGATAGATGAAAAGAAACAGCTCTTCAACTTTTAGCGTATAGATACAGATGCGAGATAGTCAAAGAGAAAGATGCCCAAAACACGAGACTTAAATACCTTTTCGTTCAATGCTTTTTGACGGTTTCTCCTTTTTTCCCCACATGAATTCCGTATCCTGCTGTTTTGTTCCAAGCTTCAGCTGTTTCTGTAATGGAGAAGAATAAAGACGAATATGCGCAGAACAACCCAAGCAAAAAGCGTTTGCTTAAACAGAAACGATGACCCAAAATGCTGTTTGCGAACGAGACGAAAAGCAAAAACTCCCCAACTGCCAAGCTCAAAGAACTGATGAGTGAGTAAGGGGAGAAGCCCCTTCCAAACAAAACGCGAACGAAGAAAGGCTGTCCGGGGTATGTAGTGCTAGATCTCCATGCTCATAAACAGCCACTGGTTGCTCGTCACGTCCACGTCTCTCGCCCAATGGTCCAGCGTCGTCAGCTCGAAACCGATCCACTGCAGGCTCTTCATCAGCGACTTTGCGTCCTCCTCCTCGATGGCCCGGTCGATGCAGACGACCAGGTGTTGGCAGTTGAGCGGACCATCGACCAACTCCATTAGCGCCATCAGCCTAAAGGTGAATGTCAGTTCCTGTTTCCTTCAAACGGCAGCGTCTGAGACAAGTGGAGGGCGTGAAACATACGCAGGCTTCAGGTCACGTCCAATGACATTCCTGTCAAACAGGGCGAACAGGGACTTTTCAGCCCCATCGTCCGCCACAAAGGCCCTGAAACTCGCGCCGCCGGCAAAGTCCCAGACCTCCAACCACGCGGTGGCCGGGGCCGGTGCGGCGGGCGCCGTGAAGCCCACTGCACCGTCCCCGCCGCGTCCCCCGAACGGAACGTGTGGTTGGACGGCCAAGTCCTCGTCTGGCGGCGGAGTCGGCAGCATGTTGTTGGCATTGTTCGCGTTGCTGCCGTTGTTGTTGTAGTAATAAGCACCTTGATGCAGGCCGGAGCCACGCGAGCCAGTGTCCGTCTCACCGCGGAACACAGCCCTCATGGACTCGCAAAAGAACCTTTCACATTCTTCCCTGATCGAAAGCGCTGCCCCCCCTCTGCGGCTGATCCTCTTGCCGGGCACGGTATCGCGCCGCTTGGAGCTGCTGCTGCTGGCCTTAGGAAGCAGAGCGAGCTCGTTGGATGCCGTTATGGCCGCGAGGGGGGGACTTGAAGGAGGTGATGGTAGTCCTGAGGAGGGGACCTCAGGAATACCACTCGGCCCCTGTTGATTCGCATATACGTCAGTCCATGTATCATATGGTTTTCCAACTTTCCGATAACGGGGGATGCAGGCGTGCAGGGGTTCTAGGGGGGTGGGAATTTCAAAAGAGACAACCCCGAGTGATCGGCGGCTGGTCTACAGGTTTGAGGCTGAAGAAGGACGGGTGTGGGGGAGGCAGGAAAGAGAAACATGATTGTGTTGTGGAATGAGAGAATGCGACGTACCTGCGGCGCCGGTAGTGCAGTAGTGGAGACCGCGAAGCGTCGCGGCGGAATCGACAATGTAGCAGCTGGCGAGGACATTGGCCTGACGGACAATGGCCTCACCATGATTACTACTACTGTAATTGTTGACCTGATTCATGGGCGCCATTGCGATTGATTCCTCGAATTTGGTAGCTAAAAATTGGTGTCGTGGTTGAATAGGGCTGGGATGTCGGTTCTCGGAAATCGGAACCGGTTCGTCGATGGAGTGATGATTGGTAGTGGAAAAGCGAGGCGAGAGTCGAGTAGCGACGATGATAGTCTTTTGAAAAGGTGGTGTGGGGATTTTTTTGGGTTAAGCTGATGAGGCTGTCGATGTGTGTAGCTGGATTGATGTAGTAGCGTGGTGTGAGGATTTACGTCGATGATGTCCTTGGTTTTGGGATGGCGGCTGTTGCGGGTGAGGCGAACTGGATATCGGCGGTGAAGCGTTGCGATGGGGAAGACAGGAAGAGGAGATGCGAAAGACGGCGTACAGGGCGGGCAGACTGGTGAATAAAAACCCAGCGGAAAGCCCATCTTTCTGCAAAGAAAAAAAGTGTGGAAACGTCTAGCGTGGCGGAGAACCCAAAGCCAAGGGGGACCACGGCGCAGAACGCAGACGCAGCAACCACCACCGCCGCCGCCCAGCACTTTCCCGTCAGTCTCAAGGGGTGGCAGCCACCAGTGGGTGAGGGGACCACACACAAACAGTCATACCTAATCAGCCATGGCCCATGGCATCTCCACCTCTCCCCTTCTTTCCTCGGACCCATCACCCATGTCTCCTTCTCCCCGTCCAATGCAGTCAATGCCATTGATTCCGTCCACGTCAATCCAGGCTTTGGATGCTTGGATCTTACTCAATCGCAATCCTTGTGGCCCCTTTACTTCCGTCACATCGGTACTCCACGGTCGGTATGCGGGCTTGCCATGATCATCATCGGCATCAGCTGTTTCCATCAGAGGGTTCCACGTTGTCCATTGTTCCGGCTGGGAAGGGGCGTCCACGGTCCACGGCCTACTGGTCTAAGGTACCTTAGGCTGACGAAACCTACTGGAGCCCTTTTGCAATGCGCGAGCCGTCGTCCATGTACCTTAGCACTGTATAAGGCGGTATGGAAGCAGAACACGCACGCACGCACGTTTTCTCTTGGGCTGCATTGCATTGGCCGCTACTTCGTCTTTTTCGCTGGCTATCCGTAGGCCATGATAAGTTCTCGTTGGGCTTTCAATCATTGACTGACTGACTAGAAGACTCCAATAACTCCACGCAACTAAGCATGTCTCGACAATCTACGGACCAGTTAGTTTCCCCGATTCGACTGTCACCAGTAGTCTCCCGCCAGCAGTCACCGACTCGGGTGGACGCTCCCAATCCGGGCCCGGGACGGCGCTTGGCACTTTGACTGCCTCTCATGCGGCTTCTGCCAATCGAACGAGGCCGTGGGCTGCACTTCACATGCACGTGGACAACCTCCAACCCAAGCCCATGCTGCCCAGCCACCCTAGCTCGACCCAGAATTTGGGGTATCACCTCTTGGACGGAAACGGCCAGACAACTCTGTGTGTGTGTCTCTCTCTCTCTAGCGCTCACAGTGTTAAAGTGCTATATTGGTGATGGGATTCCATGTGAACAATTCCTGTTTTTGGGTTATCGACTGACCAAGATGAGGTAAAGTTACGCAAGCAGTTCAAACACACGGCCATGGATCGTCGCATACAAGAATGACAGATAAACGCGGGGGACGGAGGGGTCCTCGAGAAAAATCATCAGGACAATTAGGGTTTGCCATAGGTCAGCCTATCCATCCCCAATCTCGAAACTTTGGCCTGAGCCCATCTACCTCTATTCCAGACGTCCGCCATCATTAGTCTAAACACATTTCATTTAATGATGGCGAAAGTCGTTGCAAACATACTAATGTCGACGAATGGATCTCCCCCTTTCGACCGGAGCCCCGGCATGGATCGGAGGCCGCGCTTTCTGGGTCGCCGTAATCGTGACGGGCGAGCAGCCCCAGGGCACATGGTGTGACGGTGGTTGGTCGAATGTTCGACTATTGCCATGGGCAAAATCCAGGAATTTCAGGATGGCTTACCAATGCCCTGTCAAAGAATGCCTTGCGCCGCAGCTGCAGCATGTTGGGCTTCCTGGATGTCCGTGTTTCCCTTCGGATCACTTGACCGTTTTGACGTCGGTCGCTCCCCCACACTGGGGATTCGTCGCCCAGCACACCGAAGCATCCCTCCTTGGCTTCGCTCGAAAGAATCACAGTCGTTGATAATGGATATCAACTTCGGCGTTCCATGGTGCCACAAGAATATCCAGTTGGTTTGTGATATTCGTGTCCTGAGAAGTGAAGCGTCTACTTCACATTCAAGCTCCCTCAGCGTTCCAAGCGTAGCCAACGCTAGATTCGTCGCATCCAAATCGGCCTCGGCGCCGTTCTCAAGTCAGCAGCTATGAGCAATCCGACGGACCCCACTGCGCCCTCACCGAAACCGAGCAAAAGCTGCGAGGCGTTTAGTCGACAGATAAAGATTGCAAACACAGACTTCCTTCATTCCAACTGGGTTGTTGCCCGATAAGCTTTACAGCCTCGATTCCCGCAAAGGTAGCAACAACCTCTGAGGTCCGAAACATCTTTTCGCCTTTTTCTAGAAGCACTCATGATTATTTCTGAGTTGTGACCCCTCTCCGTTTGTGTAGGTACTCAGTCTCCAAAAACGCTCTTAACAATGTACAAGACGGTGGGACCCCTCTCCCTCTCTCTGCCGCACAACCGTTGGAGGAGCGTGAGTGAGGGTGAGAGGGGGTCACATCTGATGGATGGAGGCCGAATTAGGTGATCATCCACACCCACCCAGTGATGGGGTTCGAGTCCAGTGACACACTCTGGAGACGCCAACTCTCACCATTTGGGAAGAGAGAGGTGCAGAGGATAGTAGGATGCAGCTGCCTTGGGTATTCGTTCTCCACCTGGCCGCCGTCTCTTCGTCTTATCGGCTCCCGCTTGCTTACCTTATCGATGACATTGGGCTGGGCCGCAGTACCCAAGGTGCATACCTTAGCGGCAGAGCTGGGTGGAGAAGCTCGAACCTCTCCCGACTGACTGAGTGACTGACCATACTTGCACCATCGCCGAGCGATCGCTCTTGTAACAATAACCGCCGCCCGCTCCTTCTATACTGGCCGCTTGGTGAGCAGGTGCTCCTGAAGAGATGAGTAAAAAACTCGCATTCCTTTCCAGTATCCTACGTTACGATTTGAAGTGTACGGATAGAGGGGAGGCTTTCACCGATCCTCTTCAGCCTTCAGGTTGTTTCTGAATCAAGTGTCAGTGAGCCTCTGCAGGATGCCAAACTATCTCCCCTTCTCCCTCTCCCTCTCTTCCCATCCCCAGTCCGAGCAGCAACCCAAAGCTACAACCCTGATACCTCCAACATGTACATGTCCGGTGTCCGCCCAGGCCCTTTTGATATCTCACACTCAGAACCCCGTCCGTCGTCCACTCACCGCAAAACAGGCGGGGTCACCAGTGACATTCATGCTGCTGCCCGGACGGTACCTTACTTGCGTACCTGGCGTCACTTTACCCTCACACTCGAATCATTCACTCGCTTCTGTCGTTACACACCTGTCATACCTGCCCGGGCCAAATCAAGTCCCCCCCCCCCTTCCATTCTACTGTCTCGTGCCGCAAGTCAGTCACTCACCTTCTCCTCCCTCCCTGTCGTTCTCTTCGGCCTTGCGCCCCTACGCCTCTGATCTACCCCAAAACAACCCCTGACCCTTCGTTCCTGCCTACCAATACATGAATACATGACCCCCAGACCTCCTCCAGTCGCGCAAAGAATCCAAAACGTGAACAAACGAAGCAGGAGAGAAAACGAAAGAAACCCTTGCTTCAGTCGACATTCCAAAAGTCATGCTCTCCTCGTCCTGAACGTGTCTAGGTTCACCTACAGACAGGCTGTCCATCCGTCCTTCTCCGAGATTCGCCGGAATACCATGGTAGAACCCTCCACCATCGGCGCCGCCCTCATCTTCAACCCCCACAAGCCGTAGCCCATCAAGCGAAACAAAGAAGAACAGAAACCCGTCGCCGCCACCCTTCTTCGGATCAGGCTTCCGAGGCGGGCACCTCTTCTCTAATAGAACCCCGTCTCGCGATGGCGCCCAACATTGTTGTCTCCCGGCCCACGTTCCCGACCTACCTCCTCCCCAGCTTCAACATCATCCCCTTCCGCCGCCGCCGGACCTCATCGGCTTCGACCCCGGCCTCGACCCCAGACGCGAGCCAGGTCCCCTCCCTGAGCTCCTCGCCGACCTCGTCAACGACCGATGAGACCGCGACCCCGCCAAATAGCCCGCCGCCGCCGTCATACCAAGATGCCACCACAACCAGCGTCCCAGATCTCCGGTCCAAATCTAAACCCACCCGCTCATCCCTGGCGCGCACCCAGCCAGACACCCTCCGCTGCTCAACCTGCTCCTGCGACATCGCCTTCTCCTCCCAAATCGTAAGCAAAGGCTTCACAGGCCGCTATGGCCGCGCCTACCTCATCGCGCCGAGCCCTCCGCCCACCCACGGCGCAGCAGGAGCAGCAGCAGCAGCAGCAGCAGCTACAACCAACAACAATAGCAAAAACAAGGGAAGCCTCGCCAACGTCCGCTTAGGAAAATGCGAGAACCGCCAGCTCGTCACGGGGTGGCACGTGGTCGCGGACATCACCTGCGTCCTCTGCAGCGCCAAGCTGGGCTGGAAGTACGTCGACGCAAAGGAGCTCAGTCAAAAGTACAAGGTTGGCAAGTTCATACTCGAGGTCGAGCGCGTCGTGCCGTTTCGCAGCTGGGAGAACGTCGAGGACGAGTACTACCGCCAAGATGACGGCGACGTATCCGAGGACGATGAAACCGGAGAGGACGAAGAAGGCGGAGGAGGTGCCAGGGACGAGGACGGTGTGGACCGGACTAGTAAAGATGGCAGCGGCGATGATGGTGCTGGAAGCGCTCGCAAGGAAGCATCGGACAGCGAGGAGGTGGAGGTTGTGTTTGACTCAGAGGACGAGGACGATCTCGAGGACATGTTCTCTGGAAATTGGGATCCAGAGGTCGTGGCAAAGAGACGGAGCCGCCGAGTGGCGACGGCGCGGAAGAAGTAGAGCTCTGTTGGAAGCTCCCGATACCCCCTCCCCCCCCCCTCTCTCTCCACTTGCACCCATACGCACGAGATATCCCGAGCCACGGAGGCTTTGTTCTCACACCGGCATTTATTTGAACATTTCGTTCTACTGGCGCACGATTTATATACCACAACGGACGAACGATCATGATTGGCACTTTACGCACTAATACCCCGCATTTAGAAACGATGAAATTGAGCACGGTTGAATATGAATTTGTTTGGGTATTTGAATTACGTGACTAGTGATCTGAATCCTGCAATGAAAATCAGGAGCATCTTGTGCTGCTGAATCCCCGTCTGGCTGACAGTCCAATGCAGCGCTCTCGGCGCTCATAATACACTGTCAGTAGTCGGCCTGTAAGCCGAACTGGACTCGTCGTGACCACACAAAGAGGCGGGCACCCGACTGCATGCCATGGCATACATCGCGGTTCCTGGTTGCCCTCTGGCGTAGTGAATTCGCCATATCCACAGTCCATTTACGCGACAGGCTCCTCGGCGACGTAGTGCAGGTAAGCGCCAAGGAGCTTGATGCCCTCAATGTAGTTGCGCTTGTCAAGCTTCTCGTTGATGGAGTGGGCACCGTCAGTGGAGCTACCCATGGGCAAGAGAAGGACGTTCTTGCCAGTGGCCTGCTCGAAGGTCAAGGTGACGGGAATGCTACGTGTGGTGTTAGTGGATGTCCTTGGGCGTCAAGGGATGGGATTCATACCTTCCACCCTCACGAGTGAAGTCAGGCTGCACGCCCCAGACCCGCTCGGTGGCCTTGGCGGCAGCTGAGAAGTTCCAGTGCTTGGGCGACGCAACCCACCACTTGCCGGTGTGTTGAGCCCAGACCTTCAAGGTGTTCTTGCTCTTGAGCTTGGCGAACTGCTCGTTGACGTACTTGTAGACGGCCTCGTTGGTTGCCTCCTCTTCCATGTTGGGCACGGTACGAATGGAGAACTTGCCAGTGACCTTGGCCGGGATGACAGTCTTCGCGCCAGGGGCTGAGAAGGCACCCTCGACACCGTGGACAGAGAGGGAGGGGTAGCGCCATCTTGCCATGAGGGTGGACTTCTTGTCTTCGTAGATGGTAGTCTTACTGCCAAGAGACTCGTGGAGAGTCTCCATAGTGAAGGCAATGCCATCATACAAGGTCTCCTCCTCCTTGGTAACAGGAGCAACCTGCTCTGCGATGCCAGGAATCTGGATCTTACCGTCGGTGTCAACCAAAGAGCCAAGAACGCGGACCAGGTCAGTCATGGGTTCCTGAGCAGTGCCGCCAAAGACACCGCTGTGCAAATCGGCACCGGGGCCCTTGATTTCGACAGAGTAGTAGTTGCAGCCACGGAGACCGTAGGTCAAGCAGGGCTTCTCGGTTCCGAGCCAGTAGTTGTCAGAAATGCAGACAGCGTCGGCGTCAGCGAAGAACTTCTTGGCCTCGGCGTTGATAAGGTCGTCAAGACCCTCAGAACCGTACTCCTCCATGCCCTCAAAACACATGAGGAGGTTGACGGGGAAGTCAATGCCGGCCTTCTGGTGAGCTTCAATGGCGTTCAACCACCCGAGAACGGGTCCCTTGTCGTCCGTAGAACCACGGCCAAACATTCTGCCCTTATCATCGACGGAGAGCTCGAAAGGCTCGGTGGCCCAGCCATCACTCTTCTCAGCAGGCTGAACATCGTAGTGGCCGTAGACGAGGATGGTTCTCTTGTTCTTGTCGCTTCCATATCTTCCTAGCACGACAGGGGGCAGCTGCAAGCCAGGCTTGTCAGGCTGCTCGCCTAGCTCTCGAAGCTCGACAGAGGCACCGAGGCTCTTCAGCTCGGCAGCGAGCCACTCGCCCATCTTGACGACATCGGGACGGCGCTCAACATCGGCTGAGATGGAAGGGATCGCAACAGCCTTCCGGAGGCGCTCGATGAAGTGGTCGGAGTCAGCATCGACCTGCTTGAAGTATCCGTCGAGTTGGGGAGCCATCTTGGTCTTTCGAGCCTGATGTGCTTGTATAGCTGGAGTAAGATAGTGACGGCGAGATTGCGAAATCGACTGCCAACACGGGAGGGGTTTGGGAGTTGTAGGAACAAACTTTCGAGCAGTCTGAGGTAGGGCAAGGCCTCTAAACAACGAGGTGCGGGGCATGACGCCGGACTGGACCTTCTACATCGGGTGCAATAGAGCTGACCAGAATTCTGCTGCACCGAGAGTACTGCTACATGCACCTGCCCACAACTGCTCCGGATGGCGGGGTTCTTTCAATGCGCTTCGGCAAACAGCGGCGTATCAGCAGGAAGGGACCTGATCATTACTAGCGGGTGGAGGCGCTAAGACAGAGACCAAAGAACTTTTGCGTGATCCAGCACGTGACTGCGCAGATGAGTTCTTCCTGGCCGAGATGGTGGAGAATGGAATGGAACTACCCCCTGCAGATGACTCAGCTACGGTCCATCAAAAACGGGGGCTCCGGAAAAATGACTACTCAGAATTTCCGAAGCTCACGTGCCACCTAGCCCAGGCCTGACCAGAATTGGTAGTGCTGCAGAATCAGGCCGGTGGCAGTGACCAAAGTGGGTTCCAGCTATCTTACCTTTCTCCGTCTGCCTGCAGTTACGCCCGGCTATATGTCTTCTCCTCCCCCCTTTGCGTTACTCCTCATTTTCCTGCCACGAACATCACCATCACCGCTGTCTTTTTGAACCCCGACCGCGACATTTCACCCTGCCGCGAACCAAGCGCTCTCTACACGGCTGTGCGACGGACGTATTTTACAAGCATACGACCGACAATCGTCCAAACAACCCCCGACTCCCAGTTGACCAGCGAAGCAAGTGCCCGCTCAGCTGCGACTCTCTCACCTGACGATTGTCTGCTGTCTCGCCACGAGAACGTCGAGACCGCCCAGCAACTCGAACGGAATATTGATTTGGAAACCTACGCTGGCTAACTGATATTTCTCGACTGATGGTGCGCAAGGTGTCGAGGTGATTTGGATGCGAGGAGGGATTCACGCAAAGGACTGACTTTTCTCCGTCTGGTGTCGGCCTCATTGGCATTGTACTCTTTCTCTACACTCCGCAACCCTAATTTCCTTGTTCTTCCAAGTAAATCAGAATTGATTTTCCATTACTCTTGAGAGGTGCTAAGCGCAAGAGACATCACACACAAGCAAGAAGAAAAATTACAAGCATCAAGTCTCTCTCTCTACTCACGTTGAGGTAGTGTTGCGTCTTCGTGGTCTCCAGCGAAGTCTCCATCGCCACTCAAATCTCAATACTTGACTGCGCACTGAACTGCTGCATACGTCTATAGCGGTCTACATCTGTGACCTTACCATACGAGACATCATGGCGTCCTCAGTGTTCTTCAAGTTCAAATCTCAAAAGGAGCCGACGCGAGTTGAGTTCGATGGTACCGGCATTTCCGTCTTCGAGCTGAAGCGCGATATCATCCTAAAGAGTGGCTTGGGCGACGGCACCGACTTCGACCTCGCCATTTACTCGGAGGATGGCAGTGAAGGTATTTTTCATTCTGAATACTGCTTTATAATTATCGGTCTAACAAACTTCCAGAGTACGACGATGACACGACGATCATCCCCCGATCTACAACAGTAGTTGCTCGCCGCCTTCCGGCAGCTAAGCCTGGCGGAGGCCGTGGCGCCCGATATGTCTCTGGCAAAATGCCCGTTGCTGCGAAAAACTCCTCCCGCAAGGAACAGACGACTAAATCGGCGACGGCTAAGGCCGCATCCAACGCCATCAGTCAGATGAACAATGCCATGACGGAAGAAGAGAAGATGGCAGCCATGTTCCAGGCTCAGACCGAGTCTTGGTCGGCCCAACAAGAGGAAATGTCAAAGTAAGTCCAACGTGTCTCCTAATGATGAATCAACCCCTAACAGAGTCGCAGTCAAACCCCCGTGTTCAAGCCTGGCTCCAAGAAGCCTGCAAACGTGCCTGACCACGACCCCCCTAATGGTTACATTTGCTATCGTTGCGGAGAGAAAGGTCACTGGATTCAGCTGTGCCCAACGAACGATGATCCAGAGTTTGATAATCGTCCGCGCGTGAAGCGCACAACTGGCATTCCACGTTCCTTTTTACGCACAGTCGACAAGTCAGTGGCTCTCGCTCAGAGCGGTGACGATGAGACCAAGAGGCCGTCGGGCATTATGGTCAACGCTGAGGGAGAATTTGTGATCGCTGAGCCTGACAAGGCCTCATGGGAACAGTTCCAGGCGAAAGCCAAATCTTCAGCGTCCGCTGCCAAGGCGATTGCTATGGGAGACAAGGAATTGCAGGAGCAGGGACTCGAGTGCCCTATCGACAAGAAAATGTTCATAGACCCAATGAAGACCCCGTGCTGCCAGAAGACGTATTGCAATGATTGCATAACCAATGCTCTCATCGAATCGGACTTCATCTGCCCCAATTGCTCTACGGAAGGTGTCTTGATCGACGACCTAAAGGCCGACGAGGAGACTGCGGAAAAGATGAGGGAGTTCCTCAAAGAGAAAAGCGACGCAAAAAGCCCGACCGCGGCCTCGCCGCCGCCGGCTTCATCGCCGAAGGAAAACGCGGAGACAAAGACAGAGCTGGCCAACGGAATCGCCAAATCGCCCACATCGCAGAATTCGCCTACGGCCACAGCCGCGGCTCCTACTTCAGCCCCAGCAGGCCCGAAAGCCGATGCCACGCCAAAGTCAACATCAGCAACTCCCGCCACTGCTCCGTCAGGCCCCGCCGCTGAGCGTGCGTCCTCCGTCGAGTCCAACTCCAAGAAACGCCCCGCTGATGAGCTGATGGAAAACCCCAAAATCCCCAAGGCTCCGAAGGCGATGCAAAAACAGCAGGAGCAACAACAGGCGATGATGAACGGCATGAACGGTATGGGTAATATGCCCATGAACCCGATGATGGGTTTTGGCGGCATGAATATGATGAACGGCTTCATGGGAATGCCAAACATGCCCAATATGGCAAGCATGGGTAGCATGGGTAACATGGGCAACATGGGCAATATGAATATGGGGATGCCAATGATGGGGATAATGAACCCTATGATGGGCATGCCTGGTTTTAACCCCATGAATGGCGGCGGCTTCCCTGACATGGGTGGCAACAACGCGTACGGCAACAACTTCGGTGGCAACATGAACGGCATGAATCATATGAATGGCATGAACGGCGGGATGAATGGCGGCGGCATGGGTGGCTATAATCAGCAGCAACGCCACAACTTTACACAGCCGAGCAATGATGAGGACGCTTACTTCCGGAGACCCGTGAACCCTCATCGCCACCAGAACCGCCAGAAGCGTGTCCGACCAAGCGACTACAGAGAGCTGTGAGCGCCTTCCAATCGACGGTCCTTACAATGGTTACCTACGACTTCTTCGATTGTAAAACTAGATGACACGCATTGCATTACGGTTCATCATCATTATCATTCTGGAAAAAACACGGCATAACATTATCCTCACACAGCCAAGAGGAATTTGGACAAGGCTTTTCTAAAGTCTGAGGGGCGTTCGGGACGGGTTTGGGCGGCTATTTTATTGTGTCTAGGGTGGAAAGGGAATCAATCGGGCTTTGCTGTCAACGCTGCCAGAGAGCAGCTCAAGGGGGGGCAGGAGATATTTGGGATAATGAAGCTACGCCAGAGGTGCGTCTGACACATTTCGCTCAGCGCGGAGCGCACTCTGTATGGTATCAGCACTAAGATGGTCAAATACAGTCTCCTGCACACATCACCAGGGTATCAATCGTTTGTGAATGTATTCTATGTCTCCACTAGTGACTCTTACGCCTCATGCTACCCATCCAGTCATAACCAAATATTCACAGTCGTATTTTTGATCCTCTCAACACCGGCAAACCGCTCAAAAGAACTTACTTACGCATCCATTTCGGGAGGTGAGTAAGGTGTGGTCAGCATCTCGCTGAACTTTTCCAGCTTCTCCTTGCCGCGGACCTCCTCAACTAGCAGCGGCATCTTGACGACGTTGAACTCGTCGTACAACTCCTCAATTTGCTCGAGGTACTTCTTCTGCATCTTGCGACGGGCTGTGCATTGGTCGCAGTTGCTACCCTTCTTGGGGAAGAGGAGCTGATTGACGACGATGCTGTGGGTGTCGATGCCGTAGTTTGCGAGCTCCTGAATCATGCGCTCCGTCTCATAGAGCGACAGGAACTCGGGGATGCAGACGCAGACAAAGGTCGTCAGGTTCTCGTCCTTGAACTGGGTGTTGACCTCGGAGATTGTCTCGCGCAGCGTCTCGAGCTTCTCCATCATTTCGTTCAGGTTCTGGCCGTTGGGCAGCTGGCCGCCCTGGCCGAGGAAGCCGTTGAGGAGGGGACCGTACTGCGAGCTCAGCTGGGAGACCTTTGCAAGGGCCTTTTCGAGGACGCTGGGGAAGGAGAGGAAGCGGAGGGTGTGGCCCGTCGGGGCGGTGTCAAAGATGATTGTTTCGTAGGACATTGACTTTACTTGCTTGAGGACTTCGGCGAAGGACATGGCTTCGTCGATACCGGGGATCTGTTCGGAAAAGCCAGGTCAGCAAACAAATTACTGCAACAAGGCTGGTCGCAATGAAGAGCATAGAGGCAGGCTTACAGCAAAAGCCAGATCCTGCATCATTCCACCGAGGCCACCGCTCATAGCATCCACCTCCTCGTTCTGGCCCGCGAGCAGGTCCTGCATGCTGCCGTTGGGGTCGATCTCCATGGCGCTAAGGTTGGTGAAGCCGTCAATGAGACGGGCTTCCTTGCCAAACTTCTGGTTGAAGGCGTCGGACAGGTTGTGCGCCGGGTCGGTGGAGATGAGGAGGACCGACTGCCGGGCCTTGGCGAGCTGGATGGCGAGGGAGCACGAGGTGGTTGTCTTTCCTACACCGCCCTTGCCTCCGACAAAGATCCAGCGCAGCGACTTCTGGTCGAGGATGGACTGGAGGGTAGGGTCCATCACATCGTCGTCGGCGTCGATAAAGGCGGCCATGGTCGTCACGGTTGACAGTACGGTGGTCGGGTATGATGTATTTGTTGCGATGTATAGGTTGAGATCTTTGAGGCTTGTCGTGTTTCTAGCTCGTGGGATATTGCAGTGAGTGAATCTTTTCCTGCGGTTGAAAAGAATAGGTGCTAGACGTGAGGCGTACGACTACGTCTTCCAAGCTGTTCTAGAAGTCCAGTCGCAGAACGCTGCCTCCCCGCCATTTGGCGGGGCACCCCGGCGGGCTGTACCGTGCGAACGTACCGGTCGCCGAGCTCCAGCACTGTCAAGGCTCCACCAGAGCTCGACAACTTTGCGGAGCTTCCAGGTCGAACTGCGTTTTCGCGACATTGCGTAGTTTTCGACAGGAGTCGCATCCACGACACGATCAGCACCATGTCTAACAACGGGTATTCGGTTCTGCAGGGTCTTTCCAGCAATGCAGCTGCGCGGACAATCCAAGTCACCGTCGTACCGAAACCGACTAGATTCGCCGAGAGACGCGCTGTCCTGCACTCACTGCAAAGGTTCGCCAACGTTGAGGTTTTCAAGAAGCTAGAAGTAAGTTGCAGCTCGCAGGCAATTGATGTAAATGAGGTCCTCTCGCTTACACATCGCGCTTCTAGAATCACGACTCGTCCTTCATATCCGTTCTCAGCGACAAATCAAAAGTCAAGGAGCTCGCCAAGATGAGTCCGCTCAAGTACCAACTCGCGACGCCCCGCTCCAACGGTTCCGTCAAGTCTTTTCTGACCGGCTCGGCCGTGACCGGTCCCTTTTCCAACCTCAATCATCACGAAGAAAGTGAGAACGGCGCTCCAGGAACGAACGACAAGAAAGAATTCACCGTGCACATATTCCCGGCCCCGACATACATACACTCCGCGGCCATCAAGGCCCACCCTCTGCATGGCCCCTGGCCAAGTTCGCGCCGAGAAACAACAATGTCTACGCAACTGAGAGCATCGTTGCCAAAGGATGTTACGGCCGACGGCTTATCGGACTGGGAGAATGGTGGACAGTCAAAATCGTCGGCCAGAGGCCAGCTGTGGGAAGACATTCTCCTCGGCTCGAAGTCAATTGATGTCAAGAAACGCGCCATCATTGATCGTATCAAGCGAAGAGAGGAAAAGGAGAAGGCGCCTGCCATCATGGAAGGCTTGCTTCATCTCAAAGAAAGTCAACCCTGATCGCCAACCGTTCGCGACAGTTCGCGACAACAGCAAATGCCACACTCCCACACTCTGGAGACGATATCCCTCAGGCACGGGTCAAACTCCCGCTGGCATCCTCGCAGCAATTGGGCGTTGAGTACAGAGCAAGTCACCAAAGTTGCGGCCGGTGGCCAAGCCTAGCAACATCTGACAACTACAGCCTGATCGGAGTTAAAGCGTTTCGCGCTCGGTGAAGCGTTCCGGGACTGAAAATTCCCATGAAGACGACTATTTGGCACAGGGCTCATTGGCGAGATGGGATGGCACCCGGCCAGAGCAAGCCTCTTGAGTGGATCAGATTATCAGACGGAACTGTTGAAGTTTCGGCTGCTTAACCTAAAATTATGCGGGCCAGGGCGATGCATCGAATGGAAGACCCTGAGCCGTCGCATGGGAGCGAACACCACGAGACGACCGCTGTTAATTCGAAATCTCCCGACATCAGATTGCAAGAATTGCGACGCCTGTCGGCGATGACGAAGGTGTCTTGCAAGGCCCTCGCTAGCAGTGCAAGGCAGTTGGCCTCCCGACGACGAGCTGCAGGTGTTCCCGCTAGAGGAATAGTTAAACGGCAATACGGCAGTAGTCAGCTGAGCACAGGATCGAGACTCTGACGTTGGAGTTGGATTTTCGTGCCGGGGTCCATTCAAGGCGTGGCGTCATTACGAAGCCACAAAAACAAGGAATAGCGGCGACCTGCAATTTCCCAGATCGGCTACGATGCGAGAACCTGGCCAATCAGCGGCGCATACTGAATAGTACGTCACGATAGAGCCAAACCCACGTTCCTTTTCCACCGCCAGCTTGTTCGACAATTAAACAAATCTGGACGCGACTAGACGAGCCGACCAACCGTGGCGCGGGGGATACTTGCGCAAGCCAGGGTTCATTTTCGCCCAATGTTATTCCCAAGCCACGGCCCATGAGAACCTGGGGCCAGGCTCGGCCACGTTGATGACGTCGCACTCGTTAGCTTGCCTTGGGCCCTTGACTTACACGGCATTCTTGGCCCCGGACGGTGTACACAGCGTGGTACCGTCACAGATCACAGCACATCATGCGAATTCCTGTTTCCTAGGCCCAAGCCAGGGGTTGTGAGATGGTTGTGCTTATATGCGGACGGCTTCTCCCTCTCTTTGACGAACATGTTCATCACAACAATATTCCATCGCCACTCGTCTCCTACATCTAAGCTCTACACCAAGCACCCACACTACGCTTTAGCCACCCGGCCGTAGTCCACCGTCAACATGGCTGTCACCGGCTTCATTCACCACTTTGGTACCTTTTTGCTACTCGTAGCAACGATTCTTCTGGTCATCACCAGCATCTCCGCTCCGGTGGTGCACAATATCTCAATCTTGACCGTGAAGCTGGGCGACACGTCCGCCGGCAATGAGATCACGTTTGGTACCTTTGGATACTGCGTCCGTGGCGGCTCTTCATAGTAAGTCATTCACGATGCAGCGAATCAAGGTCAATGACTAACTCGCCTCCTAGTGGCTCCGACCAATGCAGTCGCTCCAGAATTGGCTACTCCCCCACAGATGTCATTGCTGAGGCCGATGCCACCCAGTACTCCAACCTGTCCTCCGATGTCGCCGAGGGTCTCACCCGGGTGATGGTTCTCCACCCCGTCGCCGCAGGCGTCTCCTTCATCGCCTTCATCCTCTCCGTCGGCGCCGGCTTGTTCGGCTCCCTCTTCGCCGCCCTCGTCTCCGGCGTCGCCTTTATCATCACCATTGTCGCCCTCATCTGCGACTGGGTCTTGTTCGCCGTCGTCCGCCGCAACGTGAACGGGGATGGCAACGGCAGCTCCGCCCACTACAGTGTCGCCCTCTGGACTCTCCTGGCCGCCGCCATCTGCCTGCTCCTCGGCACCGTCATCGTCTTCTTCACCTGCTGCAGCGGCCGCCTTCATAAGCGCCGCCAGCAGCGGTCCAAGGTCGACAACTACTCCCCTCCTGCCACCCACACCACCTACCGCCGTCGCCGCTGGTGGCAGCGCAGCCGCCACTAGATTCGTCAAACCGACGGGTCGGGTCGCAGGTGTGCAGTTGTTTGGTTTTTTTTATTAATCACAGCATGATTCACAGGATGAAGGGTGTGTGAATCTGGCGCCCATGAATCTAGCGCAGGCGTAAAATGGGAGGAAATCTGGGAGCTTTCACTGGTGATGGGTTGCACGAACACGCACAGATATGATACCACGCCTGCATCGGCAAGATATGACTTTTTCTTGTATAATTGTTACTAAATCTAATGAACCACCTAAACAAATGACCTCTCACCATTACTGTGCTTCCTCATGATAGCTTCTCCGATTGAATGGCAATTACCGGAACAGTCCATTGATTTAGGGGTGTTGATTTCATTCACAGATGCCTTGGGATTGATACAGCTTCTTTTACGTACATCAAGCTGTGATAGGATCGCCAGAGTCTACCAACCCGGTGAAGTGACTTGTTTGCCCGATTCCTCGGCCGGATCCGATAGTTCGGCCCCGCTGCGATTAGACCAGGCACGCACAGCTCACGTGGGCACCTCTTCACTCTCCATCGGTATCAGCCCACACCTTCCTCGGACTCTGTGATGATACCTCAATCTGCCATGTAGTTTAAGTATCTACGTATCAGGAACAAAGTACCGTACCATTCGTTGGGCAGCAAGACAGCCAGCAGAGACCCCGCGTATCAGCTGACGGGCTTGCCGCCACCACATAAAGCAAGGGTCTTCTCTCGTTTGCTATTTTTTTGCGCGTTTTCGAATCTGACGTTTGCCCTTCCTTTTCTCTCGGTCTTTCAAGTTCCTTAGATCAGGCTGGCTGAAGCCCATGTGTTATCCCCGGCCAAGACTTGATTCCCCATGTCACTCCTCAGACGCTGCACAGAGCAGGCTGGCACATGACATTCAACCGGTGAGGCAACTGAGTTCGCCAGTTTCTCATCGAATGGTGTCCAGGAATAGATGCTGCAACCCGATTCTTTGGCTCACATGATTTGGGTGCATATTGCCATTGCCTGTCAAGCGGGCGGCTATAGGCCGAACAGTGCAGCATCGCTAACGAGTATGGACATAAATACCTCAAAGGTCCCAAGTCGGGCCTCATTCCAGATTGGCTGGATCACCCCCGAGATGCTCATCTGAAGGTAGTATAAGTACATAGCAATTGCCACATACCATGTCCTAGGTAATCTAGTCGAAATACCACCCCGAATCCTCTTCATGCATAAGTGCTGCGGAATCACCTACTGAGCTTCACTTCCTACTTTGAAACTCCTCATAAGGTAGATTGAATCCCGGGTCTTCGAGACATCTTGCCTTTCATGACTGGCACTCGTTTCACTAGCGACACCGTCGCTGAATTGGTGAACCTTGGCAGTCAAGCCCTTGTGGCTCTGGAGTCCTTCATTGAAAATTGTTTCGACGCCCATCAAAAAAAAGTTGATCACATGAAATCGAAGCTTCAAAAACTCCAAGTCGTCATCGAACGCGCCAAGGTTTTTGCCAATAAACCAAAGACGAGCCCGTACGTCAAGCTCAACATCATCAAACATGCTGCTGTGTGCAGTCAGGTCATCCAAGGGCTGAATAAGAACTTGGATGACCACACGCCAGACCACTGTTGGGCCCTTGGAAAGGGGAATTCGCTGAAGAAGAGAACGAGAGAGAACACCAAGAGTCTAGAAGAGTCTGTTGGTATGCTGGGGTTGGACTGCAACATTGGACTGCAGTCGGTCGACCGGTGCGATCCTGTTGACACCAAAAAAGATTCGTATGTTGCTGTCATTTTACAACGCCAGAGCACGTGAACTAATTATGTTATTTTGAATGTCCAGATTACCATTGCAAGCCATGAAGAAGAGGCTTCTCAACAGAATGTATCCCACCATTCTTGATGCTCTCATTAGGGTGTAAAGGAAAGATCGTGGTGGAAAGAATGCCAGCTCCTAAATTTAGCCTCCAGCTCCTACGGGCTAGCTTTGGGAAACGCCAATCTAGCTTCGTTACTGTCTGTTCAAGGGCCGCTAACTCTGCTCGTCGCGTCAAAAGAGGCACTTGAGATTGCTGGAGGAGCGAAGATATAGAATGAAGGCTCAGTGTACGATATGGGCCCACGCACAGGATGGAGGGATAGCTTTCTGAGGATGAGAGGAAAGAATCACCTTTGGGCGAATAACAACCCGACGTGCAGATGGTCAGACATTTGATGGTAGAAGCTCTCGTTTCTTTCTTCTTATACGAGCCTATTGCTACAATATGGACACCGACAAATTGATTCTCTAATATTCGCCGCTCTAGGGCCCAACGATCATGATATCACCCTCTTATCGAGATTACTTCAGGGCACTTGTTATCCATTCCAGAGGTTTTTTCGAGCCTCTGCCTGATTACGGCGGTCTTGGCAGCTACGTGAGGCGGCGACCGCTGCACCGAACACATGCAGACCAGTGCCTCTGTGGTTGTGGTCTTACCCCCTCGCTGACCCGTTTCGCATCTATCCCAAGGTCGTCACAGAATCTTATCTCCATGAACGTGCAAATGGAAGGGTTTCCCATGCGCCCTAAACGCTGTGGCTGGCCTCAACATAATTCCACCTGCCTATGATGCCAGACGCGGGCGCAGGTAGATGCAGCAACATCCTTACACTTTGCAGCAAATGGCACCATGCCAAGAGGAGCCGGAGTATGACTGCATATTTTTATGATAACTCTCTACCATGACACTGGAGGAAACCTACCTCGCCTAACTTTTTGACAACTGGGGCACGGCTGTAATCAAAGTCGAGATCTCGGCAGCATATGCTAAGAACCACCGAAGGGTCAATGGGTACGTAGATTTGTCACTCAGCAAAGACTTCGAGGATTTGCTAAAGTAGTGATTCTAATGCATTATCAAAGCCACAAAGATAGCGCAAGACTAGATATGTCTCGGTGTTGGTCATGAATGAGGCTATTGCTTCCTGTTCCCTTAATTCCTCTTCCCCTTTATCACCCTTATTTACTACCCCCTAAATATCAAGGCAGCATCGATGGTCTTGTATAAGACCCAAGCTGTGCCTGGGCCACTGTCCTTTCACATGGACTCTAACTAACAGTCATCGATCTATCCCAAAAGTTCCCTCAACTGCTTGGCAGCTGCTGCCGCCTTCTTAATCGTCCAACATGGTTGGACGCTGTCATCGACAGGCAACTCGTGCCCTGGCACAGCCACAGACTGGCATATATTGCTCTTGGCCCCCATCACCCAAAGCTCCATGAGTGAACGCATTTAACTAGTCTCTTTGCTGGATATTGAGCTAATCAAGGAAGATCCAACAGGTCAGGTCTGGTCATTCTCATATCAGGTTTTGACATACTTGCGCCATCTTCTTCTGGTCAACCTGCATGAAGAAAATTACTTGAAAGAACCTCCACGCGAGGCTAAAAATTCCCACTCGGTGTTGGCCCCTGTGGTTCGCCTGTCTACATATAACACAAGTGCAGCTTGCGATCAAGCTCCGTGTGTTACAAGTCCACGTAGCCTGACTTTTCAGCCTCCTTCCTCGTAGCGGTATATTAAACCATCGAAGTTCTGTCGGACATGGTAGAAAGTTTGTAAATATTGTCCTCATTTTCACTAGATGCGGTCACAATTCCTTTGCAAGTGATGGCACTGGAATACTTGACCACGCTTGTCGAAGTTGTAACGCTGGCAGGGAGGCTTCTATCCGCTTTGGGACTGTTTCTCAAAAATAGTCACCACGCCTACAAACAGATCGCGTCTTTTGGACATGAATTACGGCGCTTCCGAAGCCTCAATGAATACGCAAAGAAGTACATCGTTCAACAAAAACTGGAATCCGAGCTGGGGG